CATTCCACATGGATTCATAGTCATGAGTCTATTTTCTATGCTCAAAGACTGGACCAATTATTATTCCCCGTAAGGGCTATCAACCGAATACTTGCGCCAGTCGGGATTCAATTATTATATTTATTTTGGAGTATCCCATAAGGGATAATCATTCAGATCAGAAGCTATTCATATGAGCTACACTTGGTCTATATTACCCAGAAGATTTATTACTCGGGAGCATGTTACATGCGTCATCCTTTAAAGGGTGTCGAAGGCATATTTTTTGGCCTAGGCCTAATATGTCTGCAACCCATATTTTCAGGTGTGGCCTGTCACGTTCTTTTAGGGACTTAGGCACTTTTTGCTTAGGCCAAAGTGCGCGTGATCAAGTGCCCAATACCTTAAAATCCTTTTATACCGCAGTTACTTAACTTTTTAGGAGTTGGTACAATGCATCTTAAAAGGTGTCAAACAGTAAAGCTTTATATAGCTGTCCCGCTGACTTTTTTATATATAAGTCAAGGTGCTGTTTGGGTTTTTAAGCAATTGATTGGATACAATATCATTGCTTTTCGCCACGTAAGTGTGCATTTTTATTGACCAATATTATGGCTTAGGCTGATTATATATTGTGGTCATTTTCTAGGCGGTTGGTAAATCCTTTATGAGTTTATTTACTCGGATTTTACACCACATATGCCATATATTTCCAGGTGTGGTGAAACCATGTGTCTTCTAGGGACTTAAGCACATCTGTTAAAGCAGTGTGCGCATGGCGTATGCCCAATACTTTGGAAATTTCTTTATTCACAATATACAAGCTTCTTTATAGCTATTTTTCTATATCACTCATCATATTTTACAAAGCAGTTGGTATATCACTCGGATCATGTTATTTGGAGGATTCACATCGCATATGCTATATATTGATATCAAGTCACTTGGTTGATTACGATTATCAAAACCACTCGGTTGGTTGAATTATTTATTCCTTGACTATATGCTTGGTTTGTTCAATTAACCACATTGTCGGGGGCTACACCTATTAGGTGCATCTAGTCGGTGCACCTGACTTTATTTTCCAGCCCTCCACAGTCTTCAGATTTGGTAAAAGTACTCGGGAGACCATGGCAAAGATGATTGAAGTACTCGGCTTTGGAGTAATCTGGTTCGAGAGAAGATTATCTTTTCGACTGTGAAGGTCTCAGGGGCTACTGTGGAGATTATGGGTACCCCATATCCACACGGCATGGTTATCCGACTAGTTATAGGGGATAACTTATATATATGGAATATGTAACAGATCATGACTTGGGTATTACGTTTCCTTATATATTACGGAACAGCCTAAAGTCCTGGTTTGATAATATTGTAAAGTAGATTTAGGAAACCGATACCGTATTGGTTAAGGTTTCTATCTTGTAATCCTGCCCCCCATCCTATATAAGGTGGGCAGGAGGCCCTCTAGGGGGCATGAGACAACTAGATCGTCAGATCTATAATACACCCGGCGGATTCAATTCCCCAAACAGGAGTAGGGTATTACCTCTCATTGAGAGGGCCTGAACCTGTCTAAATCCTTTGTCTCCACATCCATCCACTTTTAGGTCTCGTGCGCTACCCCGTTTTATTATTGCCGAATTCATGTTTCGACAAGACGAAAGCACGACCCGCGACGCTGAAAGCCTGAAAGTCTGAAACTAATGGATGATGGGCTATCGGGCTTGCCTTGGGAACTGGGCTAAGGTGTGCTGAAACCAATCTTGTGGGAAGAGAGATGGAATAAGTTCGCTTTAGGTCCTTCAGTTTATCGCTGAGGGGGGTGTTTAGGTCTAGGGGTGTAAAGTTTTGGCGTGTCACATCGGGTATTATATAGAGTGTCACATAGGGTGTTCGGGCACTAATAAAAAAACTAGTTACAGAATACGTCAATAAACAGCGAGACGAATTTATTAAGCCTAATTAATCCGCCATTAGCAAATGTTTACTGTAGCACCACATTGTCAAATCATGGAGCAATTAGGTTTAAAAGTTTCATCTCGCAAATTAACCATAATCTGTGCAATTAGTTATTTTTTAGCTTATATTTAATACTTCATGCAGGTGTTCAAACGTTCGATGTGACAGGGTGTAAAATTTTTGTGTGGGAATTAAACAGGACCTGAGTTTGAAATTCGTCCTAAACCAAAATACCAAATATAACAAATCTCTCAATTTACAAAGCCGGATTACTTGAGGTCTTATGTAGTATTATGCCCGGTGTCAGTTGACATGGCAAACGGAGTCATCGTGGGACCCATGCGAACCCCACATGTCAGTGGCTAGCATTTTCTTTCTCCTCTCTCCCCCCTCTCCCCTCTCCCCTATCTTCTTCTCTCTTCACAGGGTGACGGCCGACGGGAACCATTGCTCTCCCTTCACGGATCGGAAACAAGGACGATATCCCTGGGCCACGACCAACTCCAACCATGATTTACAAAACTGTGTGGTTATCATTGTCGGTGACATGGGATCGGGAGTATCATGACTAGAGGTTTGAGGCAGACACAATCGCCCACGTGGCCTGGCACCCTTGGGGGACGTCGGGCCCGAAGGTGGTGTGTTCGCCCTCCTCTTAGCCCCCCCGAGGGGGGTCGGGCTGCACCCCCCTCGGCCCCGAGGGTCGAGGCGCCCCGACCCCTCATGGGTTTTCGCTCCGCGTGTATGGGGTAGGTGAGCACAGTGGGGCTCACCTAACCACATTTATTGCGGTTTGGTTGAGCGTGTCACGACGCATGTAACGTAGTGCATTGCACTCATTTATCCGGTCTGTGACCAGTCACAGACCGGTCAGATCGCGGGATTAGGTGGCGGCAGGCGGTCTGACGCACGCCTCGCCCCATCCCGTCAGGACGAGGGCTTCTAGGCGCTCGACCCCAGCTGGAGCTAGCGTGTTACCTCCCAGAGATGGCACGTTAGTCCCGACCAGATATATGCCAGGCTTCATCCTAACCATTACAGGCAAAATGTGGTGTGAAGGAGGGCCAGCGTGCAGATTGCTAAGCTGACGCGTGGTGGACAAGAATGACCGATTTGTGACCATTCTGACACCGGTCATGTCGCCAGCAGACCGCCATGATTCCGCGTCGCGCCTGCTCCCGGCGAAAGTGGAGGTAGTTGTGGGCCGTCCCATCAGAAGGAGACTCGGACGGCAACCATGCAAATCTCCGTCCATGTATGAAAAGGTAGGGTAAGTCCCCAGTAAAAAGGGGGGATGGTGCATGTGGGATTCCCTTGAGAGATAAAAGGAGGACCTTGCCCACGGGGAGAGGAGATAGATTTGAGAGGGGGTTTTTTCTTGGACTGGACTTTTTCCAGATTAGGGGCCGAGAACAAGGGAGAGGCTGGCTGATACTTTGTAGCTCTTTCATACACAGATCTCCCAAAAAACACAGGAGTAGGGCATTACGCTTCTCAGCGGCCCGAACCTGTATACATCGCCGGTGTCTTCTGTGCTTCCGGTCTCGCGAACCTTTCACATACAGATTGGGAGCTTAGAGTCTCACCCAGGGTCCCCGGCCGAATCTGCAAAGGGGGGCCAGCGCGGTCTCCCGGTGAGGAGCCCCACGCTCCGTCAATCATGGTTATCATGTACGGTAACAAAAATCATGATATACCTCGCGTAACTGCACGGTTTTCAAGATAACCGCGCTGTTACCGCTATAACTGCCAAACCGTGGGGTGGCGGTAACCCCACCTAAAACGGTTTGGTGAGACCTAACTCTGACACGGCGGGCACTAGCTTTCTTTTCCCAAAGGTAGGCATGCAGGCAGCAGCAACATGCATTCACTTCCCTGTCAAGTCCATAACAGTGGTGGCCAACCGCCTGCATGAATGAATTCACTAGGAGTATCTAGGTCGACATCAAGGTTTACAAAATCGTGCAATTATCACGGTTAACACGCGTAGTAATCTTTTTAGTTTTTAAAACCACAGTATACCTCACAATAACTGCACGGTTTTCCTAATAACTATCAAACGATCGTGGGGGTGACGGTAACCCCATCCAAAACGGTTTAATGAACCCTGGTCGAAACACTCTCATAGACAAGACAAGAAGAACTTGAGCTTGGTTGGGTTTACCAGAGGATCTCTTGTGCTTGTGCTACTGCAACACAGGTGATAGCTAGCATCTAATCTACTCCTTCCGTCCTAGAATATAAGAAGTTTTAGAGTTGGACACAATTATTAAGAAAGTAGGTAGAAGTGAATGGTGAAGGGTTGTGATTGCAGGAGTAGTGGAGGTAGGTGGGAAAAGTGAATGGTGGAGCGTTGTGATTGGTTGGAAAGAGAATGTTTATGAAGAAGTTGTTATATTTTGGGACGAGAGGGAGTAGCAAACTACTACCAGCTGCTTCTGCTGTTGAGCACTCATCCGTCGCCGCCATCTACGTCCTCTTCTAGCTCCTCTCCCGTCGTTCGCCACGCTCCGTCACTTTTCCCCGCTAGCCACTGCCCGTCGTGCCGTCCTTCCAAGAGGACATCCGGCGGTGGCCGCTTGATTGGGGAGGAGACGTGGGTCTCATTGTTTTTTTTCTATTTTAATTGAATAGTTACTTGCAGGTCCCATGTTTTTTTACAGCTTTAAGTACCACGTCAACATCATGTAAGCACCATGTCATCTGAAATCACCATTCAAACCATCTTAGAATTTTATTTGTACTGGTTTTAAAAGTTGAGGGATGCGTCATATATGGTATTACGGTTTATGGACGAATTTCAGACTCAGTGATGATCAGGGAAGTAAATTTATTCCCAGATAGATCATGAAGATAGTGCGGAGCGGGCGTAGGACGTTCCGGGCTTCCAGCCCACAATCGTGCGGATTGCTGCTAGTGTTGGCTACGTCGCGGCGCCATTTTCCGTTCAGCTCACTTTTGCCTCTCTTCTAGTACAACAGTAGTATTCAGCTCACTTTCTTTCATGAATCAGGATGCCTGGGAAAATGAAATGCCAACGGCAATCAGAACCTTGTTGAGCGTACATTGCATTATATCTTAATCTGAAAATTGTTTGCATCAGAAACTGATAAGTAGCCCGCGGCGCCACTCCAAAGTCCATAGCGCCGTCGCCGGTTCGAAGCCCGTGGCTACACGGATTTATTGGAGCAAATTACACACACGATTTCGAGGCCCAATCGACATAGGAGTAGGAGTATCCATCAACGTGATTTTGACTGCAGACCAGTTCCCCAGCATCTCACATTTCACATGTCTGAATCAGAGCACCTTATCTTTCGTCATTTTCTGGGTACGGATGGTAAAAGGCGACCGACAGGAGCGCTGTTTGCCGTCCATCCATCTCCGATGCCGACCCTGCCACCGTCATCTGACGACGTTTTCCCAGGGCGTTCACAGTGCGTTTGCAATAGCAATGGGCGTTCACAGTGCGTTGAGCGTACAGTGCATTTCCTTTCCTACATGTCGCCTTTGCCGTCGCCTCAACCACACCGACCAGCGTCACATCCAGCAAGCAAAGTCCGTGCGTGTGGGCGTGGCTGACACCACGACGCAGGCGCAGGCGCAGGCGCTGCACAGGTTGGTTTCTAGAGGGTCGCCTCGCCCCGCCGTGCCGTGTCGAGGCGAGCCGTCCATCTCCGCCGCACCATCCAAACACCATCCGAAAGCGGTACAGTTCGCGCGTCCCGTCTCCCACCTGCTCTGCTTGCCACTGACTCCGTACTACGAGTGCCCAGTTGCCACCACTGCGCACAAGCACACGCGCACGCGGCGAGGCTGCTTGCTATCTCTTCCGGCCTTCCCTCTGCTCTGCTCCCCCTTGCCGGCTCGGGCTCTCGGTTCTTGCATTGCACCGCCGTCCACGGAGATGGTCGCTGCGGCGGAGTGGTGGGAGGCCACCATCGCGGCGTACACGGGGCTGTCTCCCGCGGCGTTCTTCACGGCCGTGGCGGTGGCCGCCGCGCTGTACGTCGCGGTGTCCGGTCTCCTCACGCGGCGGCCGCCGCCGCTGCCTAGGAGACAGGAGGAGGCGAGGGCGTCGCAGCCGCTGCCGCCACCGGTGCAGCTCGGGGAGGTGACGGAGGAGGAGCTGAGGGTCTACGACGGGTCCGACCCCAACAAGCCGCTGCTCATGGCCATCAAGGGCCAAATCTACGATGTCACGCAGAGCAGGTAGGCTTCCTTCATTTCTTGGGTACCGTAAAAATTCGATCGAAACTTTCTTTTCTTGGATCATGGCACTACCTATGACCATTGCAAATCACTAGCTCTAGCTGCAAAATGTTCGTCCATATTTCATCTTTCATCTCCGTTTTGCAGGATGTTCTATGGACCTGGTGGCCCATACGCACTGTTTGCAGGCAGAGATGCTAGTAGAGCTTTGGCGAAGATGTCCTTCGAGCTGGATGATTTAACCGGCGACGTTTCTGGCTTAGGCCCCATTGAGCTCGAGGCTCTACACGAATGGGAGGGCAAATTCATGAGCAAGTACGTGAAGGTTGGAACAATCAAGAAGATCATCCCGGTGTCAGAGGGAGATGCTGCAACTCATGGTGGGACATCTGATAGAGGCATCGATGTAGGCACAATAGAGAGCAACCGTGTGCCAGAACCAGAGGAAAATGGAGCTACAAGTCATGCAGATGCAGTGGAAAAATCAGATGCTGATGTGAGCACACACAACCACGAGGATGTTGTAGAGAAGTCGGATGAGCTGCTGGAATCAGGTGTGGATACTAGAAGCACCCATGAAGATGCAGTGGGGAAGCCAAAGGAAGAAACAGAAGATGCAGATGTTCAGAAAACGATCAGCACTGAAGTTGCAGGTGAGGGAAAGGGAGCACCTGATGAAGATGACAGGAACACGTGCAGTCTGGAAGACGCAATTGAGAAGCCAAAGGAAACGGCATACATTGATGTGAAGGATACAAGCGGCCATGAAGTTGCTGGAGAACCAAAGGAAGCACCAGATGTGGATGGGAACAATACAAGCAGCAATCAAGATGGCAGTGGATGAGCCGAAGGAAGCGTCACATGAAGCGAAGGAAGCGTAGAGTTGAGGCTATTGCTGTGATAATATCTGCAGGTAGTTAGCATAATACAGTGTTGAATCAACAGAGAACCAGCAGGTGAGCTCTGTTGGGTTGAATCTTTGTGTAGTGTGGAAATACCACTATAATGCAATAAGAATGTAATAAGCTTGCGCTGGTCCCACTATATTTGCATTTCGGTGCAGTTATGCCAGTTAACTCTTCCTAGCTGGACATGTTTTGATCGGCATTTCTGTACTCTCTTCCCATTGGTGAATGCAGGGCAAAATTGATCCTTGGGGACCTATGTGAGTTTAAAGTAGACGGTAGTAGATGAGTTTGGTTGAGTGCTTGATTGTGTTATTGTGTAGGACATGAGTAATCATCAGGATCGAAACATTAGCAGGACCAAGCTATAGCATTAGCTCCCATAAAGACACTATATGCACATGCAACAAGTTTCAGCAGTGAGTTCAACATCTCAAGGGCAACACTTCGTACAATTAACTTTTACCAAAATTCATGTTCAAATTTCATGCTTCTATGCTAGTATCCATGGGAAGCCTAACAAACACTTTCACATCAAGCCAGATATGTGGGCAAAGAAAAAAAAATGTTTCGGATAGCAAACATGCTTAAGTATCAACTTACACGTGTGACTGATCTACTTTTGGATTCACAGGTTTGTTTCTGTACTAGGATTTACGAAACTAGAGGTATCAGGATGACCTATGTACATTGCCAATGAGAGAACTTGCAAGCGCTGACAAGTTTTTCCTAAGTATCAACAATTGTTTCCTAATTACCCGCATTGGTACATTGCATGCAATGCTACAGACAGTAACAAAGGTCATACAATACACATTTGTATGATGGAAGATGAAAGAAAACATACATTTCAGCTGCTCATCATGCCCTTGAATGTGATCCCAAGAGGAGAGATTCAAGATTCTGCACAAATAACAGAAACAGGAGAGTAGTATCAACCTTGAACAATGTTTTGATTCAATGGTCTGGCGTTACCGAGTATAAGAACAAAATTATCTACCTTAACTGATTGACAAACTTCTTCAAGCTTATGGAGCAAGATACTGTCACTTTTAGGAATTCTGCCCTTGGATTCCTGGAAATTATGCCTGGAGGAGGCTGTCACCTGAACATAGAATCATTTAATGTTATGCAATGAACACACACCTGAACCATTTGACTGTTTTTCTCACTACACCAAACCTTCTGACTTAGAATATATATGTGCAGTACCTGAAAAGGCTACCAAACCTCATTTTCCCATGTTCTAGAACCAAACAAGAGCTAGAATAAAAGTGAAAGTATAAAACATAAACATAACCCAACTTAGCAACCATGGTACAAGGTTAGTATACGTCCTTGGGGATGAAACCAAGCAAAACAAATGATAGATGACCAAAAGACCCACCCAAAAGGAGTAATGAAAATCAAGAGACAAACACAAGTTTTTGGTTGAACTGAAACACTACCTTCGCATTAGGAGAGTCAAGTCTATCGATTGGTGTAACATCAGAAGGGCCTTCTCCAGAGTATATTCTGTACTTCCAACTTTGGTGTTCTTGGATTCTCTTGGAAGCTTCTCTGATTATAACCTTCAAAAAATAATGAACAGAAACTGCCAACAATCAGCAAAGGAATGTACAACATTTCCTGACTGATGAAACCCCCAGCATTGATATATAGTTTCCACCATAAAAGAGTAATGGATATTGGATGGTGTAACAGGTTCATTTTAACATTTATATCTATATTTTTTATAAAAAAATGTATCAACAAAAAAAAAACTTCATATGGTCAGTTGCTAGCAACTACAGATTGCAATTAATTACCGTCTTTAGAAGATCTGGATTGTGAACACCATGAAATTGTAGTTCATCCAATGGAGCAGGTTTCCCCGAGGCTATGCTTTCTACTTTAAATGTATATAAGCTATAAACAGATTGCAGACAACCTGCATGATTGCAATCATTTTGTAAATTCAAAAGCACAAAGGCGTAAGGGTAATAAAAAAAAGGTCTTTGGAACAAATTTTAGGATGTAAACTCTATGAACTATGAAGGGAAGATATTTTCGCAAGGTGTAGATGATCGAAAACTATTACAGTGCACTTCATCAATGAGACAATGAATACAACTAACAGTAGCAGGATTCATATATATTTATCAATAATAGATACATCAAAGTTTAAAATCATTTCTACAGAACAAGCAGGAGAATTGCAATTTTACAATTGGTAGGGGATTGAATATAGCAAAACAACAGGAATTAGCGTTAAACAAGGAGTTGTCTGTAAGCAATCGATTTAAGTTTCACTTAAGTATTTAAGTAATCTAACCTTGCTCTATTATAACATCAACTACCAATTGAAGAGGTACTTCTATCTCTTTCTTGACAATGCCCATGAACGGTATATATGAAGGCCTACTAGCCTGCAAAATGAAATTGCACGCATTCAGCACTGAAATGACAATTAAGCTCGCAGCGAAGATAAGCAAACCAATACGGCATGGTTAACCCTACCTTGTACACTATCTTATTCTCAGTAACATAGAGTTTGCGGGAAAAGATATCCTTCTTCAGCACATATCTTTTGTACGGCAGGTAGAGAAGCATGAGCAGGCCAACCCCCCATGCCAGAACAAGCAGCAGTGATATCACGGCCCATATGATCGTGTCATACTGCAGATAGTTGGGCATCAGCTCCTGAAACGAGGCTCGGTACAGCACCTTGGAGGAAGCTTCGGCCTCCTCGCCGCTCTCTGCTTCATCGGGTACCACATTTCCTACCAAACGTTCGCCCGAATCACTTCTATGATGCAACGTCACCGCGCGGCCACTCAGCATACCTAACTAGCCTATCAATCGACTGAAGCAATAACGAACAGAACCGATTAACCAAGGAGTCCAACTACTTAATTGCTCCAGCACAAGCAAAAATTCAATTCATGGCGGATTAATTTTGGATTCCTCCATTAGACACCGTAGGCAAAGTTTCCACCTGGTGTTGGGGTGGGGAAATGGAATCACCTGAAGCCGGGTAGGAGATGAACTCGGAGTCGGCGCTGGGCCAGCGGTGGTGGGAGCTCGGGCGAAACCTCCGCCACGGATGCTGGAAGCGGCGGTCGTCTCGGCGAGGATCTCCTCCTCCGTCTTCGTCCAAACCTCCAAAATTCTCCTCGACGACTCCTCCCCGTCTCTCTCTCCCCCTCTCGGCTCAATCGGAGAAGATTCAGGTATGGGCCTTATACGGGCCGGCCCGTTTAGTACGCTTAAACGGGCCGAATGCGGGTAAGCCCCGGCGCCCGCGTGCGTGAGAGGTGACCGTGTCGAGGCTGGAGACGCAGGATCCCACGGCCGCCGGCCGCGTGCATTGGTCGCCGGCTCGCCGCCGCGCGACGGCACGGTGAGAACCCGGAGCCACAGCCCGCACGCTGTGAGACATTTTTTGGAGAGCCAGCGGCCGGCCGCCAGAGTGTTGCTGTGTCGTGCGCACGGTCGGCATGGAAAGCCTTCGGATAGCTTTTGTCCCATCAAACCGGAGGTAGTTTTCAGGCAGTGCACCTGGGGAAAAAAGGTTCAAGGACTTTCCTCCCGTGTCCGTTGTAGCATGTGTAGGGGACAGACGTGTAGGTTGTGTTCTCGACTTCTCGTCTTGTACCCAACAAATTTGCTTATAATTGCACCTTTTTTTTTAATTTGGTTGAGTGATCTGCATTCTAATTTCTCCGGGACAAATAGAAATCGTTGAGGGTCAGTGTGTCGGTCAAACAAATTTCAATGGAGATCATGAATTCATGATAGCCTTCGCTGAAATAATGAGGCCATGTTTAGTTCCCACACATACATTTTATACCCTTTCACATCGAACGTTTGGACACATGTATGAAGTATTAAATATAGGCTAAAATAATAACTAACTACACAGATTGCGACTAATTTGCGAGACGGATATTTTAAACATAATTGCTCCATGATTTGATAATGTGGTGCTACAGTAAGCATTTGCTAATGATGGATTAATTAGGCTTAATAAATCCGTCTCGTTGTTTATTGATGGATTCTATAATTAGTTTTTTTAGTAGTGCCCGAACACCACATGCGACACTCTATATAATACCCGATGTGACACGCCAAAACTTTACGCCCCTGGATATAAACACCCCCTAAGGTTGTGTTCTTACCCCAAGTTTCCCAATCCATCTCCCTAATTTTCCGCGCGCACGCTTTTTCAAACTGCTAAATGGTGTTTTTTTGCTAAAAGTTTCTATACAAAAGTTGCTTAAAAAATCATATTGATCTATTTTTAAAAAAATAGCTAATACTTAATTAATCACGAGCTAATGAACCGTTCCGTTTTCCGTGCGCACTGTTTCGGTTGGGAACACGCTGGACCGAACACAGCCTAAGAGGAACTCCAATTCATCCACTATGTAAGCCAAATTTGGTAAGTTCAGACAAATTCGCATCTCCAACAAACTTGGCAATAGGATAGCTAAGCCATCTGACAGGCCAAACTCGTCTGCTTACTAGTTTAACTTCGCCAGCCAAATTTGGCTTGCCAATCATGGGCCCACACTGGTATCCCCTTCTTTATCTCTCTCATCCCTGTGCCGAGCAAACGGATAGACCTCGCAACACTGACCAGATCGAGCGACTCCATCATTGCACGCCCCTGCTGATCCTCCGCCCCCACCAGTTCTTTGCCCCTCCCCGCACCATCGCTAGTCCTCCGCCACTCCTTGCGCCGCCGCTGGTCCTCTGCCCTTGTCAGTTGTCATGAGTGGCTCCTCCTTGGGCTGACCTCCATCATCTCTGTGCCAGCTCCGTTGTCACCATCACCGCCTAGAACCCAGCCGCGGTCGTTGTCAGCACCTCTATTCGGACCATTGTCGTCAACCGTGTCTCGCTGATGAGGTAAGGGGTAAGGTAGGGGGCGTGGGGTGGGTGGGGTGGAGAAAGATATAGAGGGGAAAATGAAGAAGAAATATAGACATTGACACATGGGACCTACTATTAGATTGGAGAAGGTAATGGAGAGATTGTTTGAGTAAAAGATAAGCTGATTAAATGGATATTTGGAGAGTCAAATTTAGAGATGTAGGTCAGAGGGGTACATCAATTGTCCTTTTATCTTTTCATTCTTCTGTTGTGACATTTCCAAACTCCAAATCCACTTATTCTTTTTTTTCACAAACAAATAAAAATCCAGGGATTAATCCAGATTGTTTGGAAGATTAAGGGCTTATTTGGTTTCTTGCCAAAAAAATCAACCTTAACAATCTTTAGCAATACTAAATTTAGCATATTCGAGCATTACCAAATTTTAATGGCGTTGGGATATGTTTGGTTTTATGCCTTAATAGATTTTAGTAGAGTTTAAATGGAAACGTCTAAAAATACAAAATTTTAATAGGGTAATAATATTCAGGATATATTTACTTTGTTGCCTTATAAAGATTTGGTAGGGTCGGAAGCGAAAACAAAATAAATAAGCCCTTAATAACATTTTAACATGCTCCCCGTTTTCCATCCTTTTCCTCTCATACCCCCCCCCCCCCCCCACCCTTCTCTTTTTCGCATGGAACGGGTCACCAGATACAACTTCAATAACTTCCATTCAGAATATAAACAGAGACCGAACGATGCCCAACAGAAATGTGGGCTCTGTAATCACTGAGCGTCCATCAAGAAGGGCGTCCAGTCCAGTTACGCCCAGCTCATTGCAACTACATGAAATTTTAATGGCATCAACCGGCAACCACATAAATTGGACAGCAGCAGCAACCAATACGTATTACTAATTCAGTACTGCTCCATCGAACACTAGCTAGACTCCACCGTATTGGGCAATTACAGCCATCTGTTAAGCCGCTGTGTCCTTCTTAAATCACTCGATTAATTCTCCGCTTTTGAGCAAGCAGAGAGTAGTTATTGTTTTGACTACTCACACACGCACAAGCTAGGAATAACATGTTTGTGCTGCTACTAGCTATGAACTTTGCAGAGGATACCTGCATCAGCAGGATATCTATGAACTTTGCGTTATGTGACAAGACCTCGCATGGGAGTTCTGTGTCCTAGAAGGCAATATCCCATAGTGCAATCACATAGTGTCCATCACTGTAGAGAAGTCCACTGATCATCAGAAGAGACCACAGGGTTGACGTGTAGAACAGTAATGCTAAGAACAGTAGAGAAGTCTACTGATCAGAAAAGTGCTTGCCAATATGTAAGACAGTTTGCTGCACTGAATCAGCCTGAAGTTTCCACCCCGAAAACTACACTGTTTTCCACTCAAGATGGTGGTGCAGGTACGTGCTGATCACCGAAAAAGAATCTTTGTGGTTATTAGTACCACTGCTACCACACGTACAGCCAAATTCAGCAGAATTAAATGGCCACTCCGATCCACTCGTCGAAGCGAGAAGAAAGAAGAGCACGTTTTTGCATTGCTCCCCTTCCCCGGGTCCGCCGATTCCGCGTTCGTTCCCTGTGGCTCAGCTCGATCACACGCGCTCGACAGCAGCATAAATTCTCACCCTTGAAACAGATGATGACCCCATCGATCTCTCGCATCTCTTCTCTCTGCCCTGGCTCTGGCTGGCCAGGTGGGTGCCCGTGTCCGGCCGGCCACCCAGCTGATCAGCTCTCCCCCCTACCTTCCCACACCAACGACTCTCCCCTCCGTCCTCAAATCTCCGCAGTCCGCACACCTGGCTCGCATCGCAGCTAGCTAGCTAGCTTGATCATCTCAGCTCAGCTGGTTGTTGGTTGTTGCGTCGCGCGCAACCTGTTGCTCTGTTCCCTCGAGGTGGCCATCGCCATGAGAGGACGCGGTGACGGAGCTCCATTGCCGGTGGTCATGTTCTTGGTGGTGGTGCTGCTGTTGGCGAACGAGGTGGTGACCTTGGGCTACGGCTGCAGAGCTCTCAAACAGGCGGACTGCGCGATGGCGGCCACGCCGAAGCACGGCGGCACGGTGCTGATGCGAGCGGCGGCGCCGCCCGGCCCCGGCGAGTCGAGGGCAGCGATGTACGGTGAGTCCAAGAGGCTGGTTCCCCAGGGCCCCAATCCGCTGCACAACTAGCATCCTATTCCTGCACCCCCTGCAACACGTACGTTTCCATGCGTGCAGACGGCTTCTCTCAGTTCTACACTTCTTTTCTTTTTACGTTCTCGTTTTGCTTCTCTTTTGGTTGTGCAGAAGAGTACACACATACTACCTCCGTACTAAAATAAGTGCAGTCATAGATATCCGTGTCCAACATTTGACCGTCCATTTTATTTGAAAAATTTGTGAAAAATTTAAAAATATTTAGTTACACATAAAGTACTATTCATATTTTATCATAATAAAAATACTAATCATAAAAAATTTTCAAATAAGACGAACGGTCAAACGTTAAACATGAATAGTATAAAACTGCACTTATTTTAGGACGGAGAGAGTATCATACAGTTGACCAGTGCTGTAATTAGTTTAGCACGGCAAAGGTCTCAACTCTCTCTCTCTCAACAACACAAGATTGTTGTACTAGTGCCATTGTAATACACAGTAGGAGAAAAGGCTGGAAACAGTGCAGTTCATCTTTCTTTCAAGTTTCAACAACTTCAAAGAGACTAATAAAAAGAACTTGAAAGCTGTTGAGTACCTTTTTTTTTTCACAAGGCCGACAAACGAAAGAATGCTGGCCAAAATTTGTCAAAGAGCATGAGAAAAACAGGTTTTGTTCCATCGATCAAGGTTGTCAGCCGTCAGACAACTGCCACTGTTTGGAAGAGAGTTGAGAGCTGAGGCAGTGAAGCAAATCTTTTGTTTTGTGGTGATGTGTTGTGTGGTTTTGGGGGTCATTTTCACGTATGGTTACCAGGAAGCATGCACTAACCTACCTTTTGTTTCTGTCGTGTGCATGCCTCCCACACTATTCAGGAAATTTGTTTTCATGTGCCTAGGATAGACGTGCTTAGTTGTAAAAATAGTTCTAGAGATTTTCTTTTAATAAAGGTGTGGTTTGAAGTTATGGGGTACGTAACTTCATCCGGTAGAGTTTAAATTCTAATACCTATGAATATTATGAACATAAGGGTGGTTCAATAAAAACATCTGGCCTCCGTCTCTTTGAGCCTATGTCAATGTATCAGACATCGCATTCGTAGGTCTACGAGTGTGGTGTGCATAGATAGCGGCTTATGTACATGTACATCTTATGTGTAATTGGGTAAAAAAAAAAAGAAGAAGAAGAGTTGCACAGATGAGGGATGGAGTGCCCTGTGCACAAGAGCAAGCGAGTAACCTTTACCTGCAGTTCAAGGACAGATTCCGGCTGAGCAGACTTACAATATCATCTTTCCTCTTATTCCTATACTTATAAGCTAAAATTTGAATTTTCAATCTTAAATTTAAAAGTTGATATTGGGATTTTTTTCATCGTAGTTTAATTTTTAGCCTTTGCTTTTAGATAACTAAGAACACGTATATAAAAGTTTTATTTACAAATTATTTTTGGTTTGCAAATATGCCATTTAGCTTATTCCATGATGGAGTCCTTAAATCCTACAATTCAGGCACTTTGGCACTTTGCATTTCATTGTTTCTATGGTGAAAATGGCATGTGTAGAAATTTACAAGGATAAAGTCCCCCCCTTTCTCTCTCTGTCTCATGAAAAAGACCGGATGCGATATATCATAATCCTATAAATCTGGACAGATGTATGAATTTGGACATGCATCTATCCAGATTCATAGTATTAGGATCTGTCATATTTGATACTAGGTTGGTTTTTTATGGGACGAAAGGAATATGTGGGAAGGCTCACGTCTCCAAATATTATGGACCTGTTCATATTATAGCCAAAATAAACCTTACCAAATTTTACTAAGATGACAATATTGTCAAAATTTTAGCAGGAACTAAATTTGACAATAAATTAAACGTAGACATTTTTTGACAGCTTTACCAAAAAATGGTATGATTGAAAATGGCATCAAAGTGAACATACCATATATCATATCACCGGAAAAGATTTATACGTTCAGATTCAGGGCTCAATGAAAGGTCAAGGATGCTTTACAGGGATATACTGGTATGATTTTGCAATCTCTAAACCTGCAGTGGCAGGTGCATCTGAGAGTCACATATCTTGTGGGTTGGAAGCTTATGAAGAAATTACCCACAAGAAAAGAAAATTAATAATGCTTTTCTTAGTCCACTACTGCTATCCCAATAGCAGGTACATTGCATGAGAGACCAGCTGAAGCGCGAGTCAAGAAAGCTGGCAGGGGCAGCATTACTGCATTCAATATGTTGAATTGAACACACGAGAAACATATACAGATCAGGAGATCACCGGTCACTGGAGGGGAGAGGGGGACATGGATACTTTGCAGCACAACCTCCTGCAGCTCCAGTTCCCTCGTACACAAGGTAAAGGAGCATCGCATAGTTTCCATTTCAGATATTTTTACGTTTACTTTTTTACCAACATTCCGAATCATAACCCAGGGTTATGATTTCTTCATCAGTGTTTGAGGACCACAAACAAAGATGCTGCCGCAAACCTGCGAGATTCTGTTTCTCTCATGCAAAATTACTCCAGCCATTTACAACACCCCCACCCCACCCCCCACAAAAATAAAAGGAGAAACAGTAAACAACCCATTTTACTATCCTTAAGCATTCAATAAGATAAAAATTCAAAGTAAAACAAAAATCCATAACTAACTACTCTGCTGTCATAAGTCATAACCAGTCGTCATATCTGGTGAAACCGATTTTCATCATACTTGTAAGCTTCTGAAAATTCCCCCCAAAAAAAGCATTTAAGAATGATCTTTTGTATCTTGAGACTGAATTTTATTTTTGAAATTTAGCAAGCATGTACAACATATTCTCAGCCACATTTATTAAGTTGAAAATTAGTAGAAAGTTGTGAGATACTTGAAAATTGATTTTTCACCAGACAAGATGCAAATATTACCGGGCATCATCCATGTGAACAAGAAAAATACAGTTCTTCCAGTTTCTATTACGAGAAGTAGCAACAAACCGTATTACATATAATTTCGAGTAATAATTAAGAAAGTATATCAACATCCTAAATCAAAGCTATCTTTAGACAAATAATACTTTTTTTTAACATGATTGACAAAGTTTCCCTCAAATATCCTTTTCTTTTCCCTAAAAAAACATGATTGACGAAGCCTGATAAACTGACATGTAAATTCAGGGTTTCAAGTCTTGATGAACAAACTTATGATAGTACTGTAGAAACCTGAAAGCATCTGCTTTTCTTAACGAGATTGCTTCCATCCACCAAAGTCCTCAGGAAGACCACGCTGGCGAACATCCTGCATACAGCATAAAAATTACAGACTATCTGAAAAGCACTGCTATATTTGTTTTTCAGTGTGTTGAAGTTGAAGCAACACAATCATAATCCCATCCAAACAGGCTTCAAGCCTTTAGCCACTACTCTGTAAGAGCAACTATAAATGGTAATGGTAGAGAAGAGTAGAAAAAGTACTACATGTCAGTGATTCCTCTATATTAGCTGCATTTTCCAAATGTAGGAAGTAAAGAAGTAGAATGAGACATGTTGATATAATAACAGGATGCACATCCCACTGAAATTTTTCAAGCAAATGGTCCATTAACACTACTGCGATCTACAACTCTATCCTAAGTCCCCAACAAGATGTACAATTGCATTTGAAAACAGAGTACAAGTTCTGTCAAAACATAAACCACTTTGCCAGCAATGTCATTGGGGGGGGGGGGTACAAGATGTAGCTTATTCTATGGTCAGTTAAGCATTAGACCTTAAAGGTAGGAAATTATCGTTGTCCGGTTCAATTGTATCATGGATGCCAGAACATAAGCACCTACTCTTTAAAAGCCATTAAGGGAGGACGCTTGCAGTTTGCAGAACTAGAAGTATTGGCATCCAGCTGTACGCTCAAAGCCCTCAAGAACAGAAGAACGGAAGAGTGGTGTCATATCACCCGCCCACATAGGTGAACCTTGGTGGTTTGTGGGTGATGCACACACCACAGGAAGAAACGAGTGGATTTTGCGTTCCATTCACCAAATAGTTCGGCACATAAACTTGTGAAAGGTGGTTAATATATGTTACTATGATTTTTATTTTTTGGTTAGCAGTCGCTAATAACCGAAGTGATGATTTGAACGCCAGATTTAAGAATGCACTATAACTATATATTTTTAGCCAGCCTTTTTAGAAACTACCTCAGGAGTGAATGTGAGGCCGACTTTGATTTCTCCACAGTAATGTTCATCCTTCACAACATTATACAGAGTTGGTGGAATACTCCCTTCAGTATACACTGCTTCCAAAGGAATCCTGCAAGAATCAGTTCAGTTGAGCATTATAAGGAAAAGTAAGGGCAATAATTTTAAGAGGGTTTACTCTGAAATGATTCCAAAACAATTGATTTAACAACAGTAATTGCAGGATTATAGACATGGATGAGTAGATATGCATACGTTGCTTCACCAACAAAGTCGTCGGCTGAGCCAGTATCACTGTCCAAGAGCTTGATCAACAGCTCTGTAGCTTTGTCAGACACGGTGAAGACAAAGTTTTCGTTCCATTCAGGGTTACTTCCTTTGCCTGCATAAGTGGACCATGTTACAGCCGCTAAGGCAAATTCAAGGCGCATAACACTAGAATCAAACAGTTCTAGGAGGTAGCAGCAGGAAAAAAAATCCTTTAGAGAAGTTCTGGTTATTACAAATATTTGAGCACCATTTTTTGTTCATTATTCCTAATTAGTGCTTATCATTCGATCATAGAACAGCATGCATTTCTAGCATACCACAATCCACATAGCAGAAGTTGCACATGGCAATGCATTCTTTTGGTATAATTCTAACAGTCAGATCGTTCCATTCATCCGCAATGCACCACAAGACTAGTGCAAAAGATGTCACATTCCAACAATGCATAAGCAGAATGGTTGAACAAGAATTCGAAAAATGAAGTAAACTGATAAGAGTATCCACCTGATGCTATGCTGCTTCTCTGCTCCTGTGAACGGCACTTGAGAATTGCATATGGATCCATGTTGCCTGCACTCAATTTGCCAACGAGAAAAATCATAACCGGGAATTTTCTCCAACTTCAAGAATAAAATGTCAAAGCAACCAACAAATGCATCCAATTTAAGCACTCCGACACTCTCATTGTCAGAAGCTATATACCATCCTGATTCGGTAATTTATTGCATCCCATTTCACAGTTAGTAGCGACAAACATTCATGGAAAATAAAAAGGCTGAAACCACTAGCCACACATACACCGCAAAGCATGAAACTTTATTATGCACAAATGTTATGCCAGGGATCAAATTACGAAAAGATCACGATAAGCCCACTTAAACATACTACTAGGACTTCTTGTTTTTGAGGACTTGAATGACGAGTGCCCTACCAGCCTACCACCTGAAATCTGTATATCTAAACATCTAATAACTAATCTAATCCAGGATATCATTTCCCTAATAAGGCAGGTACTACTGGAGTGCCAATTGCCGAAGAAGTGATCTGATGTGGACATGTGGTCAATCGATCAATCAAGATTAGCAGCGTAATTAATAGCCCCAATGACCCGGTCCCCATCGATAGAGAAGAGAATGGACCTCATTAGTCATTACAGATACATCACTCAGAAGTAAGCAGCTAGCTAGCAGTACTAGTATCATGTTCCTCAACACAAAATGTTAGCCCCAATTAAAGCGATGCATCGATCATGATTAGCAACGCAATTAAATTCCCCAATCACCCGGAAGTATCTTGATATTCCTCCTACCAAAATTAAGGATATGCTACTCGTACCAAGCAAATGCGTTTAAGGATTAGGAATTATAAGCTGATGCGTACACAGGTAATCGGTGTTCTCGAGGCCCTTGGCCCCGACGAGCAGCACCTCCAGCGTCCCGTGCACCATCTCCTCCTCCTCCCTTCTTCCTCCCTGCCGCGCTGCTCCGCTGCAGGCCGCTTCGTTGCCAGATCGATGGTACGCAGGCGCGGAGATCCGGATCTCGGAGGGTGGCTCATGGCTGGCTGCCCTTAAACTTATGCGCGGTTGGCTGCTCGCCTCGCTCGCCGGCGTCCTCGGAGCGCCCCCCCTCCTCTCAGTCTCACCCCCACACGACGAAGATAGAGGAGGCGCATGGCATGGGTGGCCATCGGCCTTCTCCCTCGCCGCTTCTCGCGCGCCAGCGCACATGCGCCCCCAAAACGAGGAGAACCCGACGCGCCGCCGAGGCTTCCGCGTCGCGCAAATCAATGGCGCGTCGCCGCGTCGCTCGCCGGCAACGAGCGAGGCAGGGTGGGTGGGTGGTGGGCTTGCTCGCTCCGCGTCCCAGATGATGGGCTCACGGGCCGTTTGGGCTTTCTCCCGTAATGGGCCGGATCATCCCTCGGCCCAGCGGGGGACCCGCGGCCCCAGCTTATCTGTCCACCTCACTCAGTCTCATCCCCACCAGACTCGTCGCCTTCCTCACCGAACCCGCAACCGCCACCGCCACCGCCACCGCCCGTCCACATCCGCCGGCGCCGATGGCCTCCTCCGCCCTCGCCGTCTCCGTCGCCAAGCCAGCCGCGTCTCCTCCCGTCGCCGTCGCCGCGGTAACCCCGCAGCGTCGCCTCCTCCCGCAGTGCCGGGGCGTCCGCGCTGCCCCGGTCGTCCGGCTCCGCTCGGGACGCGCCCGCGGCGTGTCGGTGGTGTGCGCCGCCCAGGGCCAGGAGACCTCCTTCCAAGGTATTTCTCCGGCGTCTTTGAGAGATTAGAGCTGTTGCCCTTGCTCGCGTTAGATTCATGCGTCGATCCGGGGTGGTGAAATGGTGCTGATCTAATTAGGTCGTCGTACTGGTCGCTGGTTGCTTACTGCCGTTCGGGATCATCCGTTTAGACAATTCGGATGGCGATCTGCTATGTTTGTGGAGCCTTACGTGGAGTTAGGGGTTTCGGAATTATTTTGTCTTAGGTCTGGTTTCTGTAGTTAACTCGGCGTTGAGGATTTCTGGATAATAAGGGAGTGTTGCAGCACGTAGCACAGTGTTATGACACCACCTTGAAGGTATCATTGTGTAACAAACTAACAATCGACGCAGAAAGGCGCAACTACGCTTGCTCTAGTGCATTCATCTTTGCATGTAGGCATGCTGCATTGCCTCCGTGTGTTCTTGCGCGATGGACAATCTGTGCACCAATGCGTGCACTCAATTGTGCTGTGTGCGTGGAGATCAACAATATATGTACTTACGTAAGGCACGTGCGAACACTTCCGTAAGGCACATGCGAACAAGTAGTAAATCACATACTTAAGGCCTGTCTATATATGTTGTTTAAGTTAAGACGTGTCTATGTATGTCCTTCATGTTCCATCTGCATGTATGCAAAAGTGAGGAAGTTGCTTTGAACCTAGTAACAACACATAACATTTGTTTTGTTGTACGCTGTATGGAAAGTTAGAAGTTGCTTCCTGTGTTCATCTTTTTAAAACAGCATTTCTTCTTTTGTTTGTTTGTAACTATAGGGCACTCAGATCTTTCCCAGCAACAAATGAATTTCTTCCCTCTAATATCCCTGGTTGCAGCTAATAAACCATCAATTGCATGGTAATTAATTTTCCAACTTTAAAAACAGTTAGCAGCTTGCTATTACATACAGAGGTTCTCAACAAGCATGCATATTGCATTTAATATAAGGGAGATGCACATTTTTTTAAACCGAGGATGTGCAAATGGTTTGTACAAGAATTCAATGGGTGCCTCAATACCCACATACACCAAATCATTAACATAAGTTAGCTTAACAAATTAAGACTGCCCTGAAGACTATGACTTTGTCCACAACCAAGTTGATTGCATGACTGGAAAAGTGGAAATTACCATAACTTCCACCTCCCTCCACAGTTGGCACTCTGCTTGATGTTCTCTACAAATCTGCTGTAGGTGGTAAAAGTTAGTTTAAAGATGCGATTGTTATGCTCCAGATAGATTGTTCTAGCTGTCAGTGTGACAATGGAGTTTAGACCAACCACTTTGGATTTAGGAATTGCTCCTTTAAGGAACAGACACCGATCATGAAAGGTGATTTGCGGTGATAGAACAGCACCATTGCGGCTAAGTTCTAACTTAATCCACTGAAGATTTTCCAATTGCACCTGTCGTGTGTACACACAGTAGACCAACAAATGAGACATCCTTATAAATTTGATTTTCTAATTTGTCTTTTAGCCCAAAGCAAGTAGACTGTACACCTAATATAGGTGAATGAAAGTGGTACACATCAATTTATGACAGTAGTCCTAACACTGATTTGTTCTCAAAAGTGCAGATGAGCTATTCACTAAAGGGACAAGGCAACACAAATATTAGAATACATTATTTCTAAATTCCAATGATGGTTGAATGGTGCAATATGGATCGCATCATCTTTGTTGGGCTAAAAAGATGTTTTATTTTAGTCTTAGTACTAGCTGCACGTATTGAACTATCACTTTATTCGGAGAAGCATTGTCTGTTTCATTGAGAGAGGCATGATTGGAGAGTTTTCCAGATATTAGATATAGGTCTAATATCTTGAAAAATGGGAGGGATAAGGTGGTTTAGTAGAAGTACTGAAACCTTACCTGAATAAACTGAACCTCTAAGATGTTGCAGGGTAAATCGTTTAAAAAATAAGTTACTTTATTACATCTTGATGTACTCCCTCCGTCCCATAAAAAACGAATCTAGGACTATGTCCAGATTCATAGTACTAAAATGTGTCACATCCGGTACTAGGTTGGTTTTTTATGGGACGGAGGGAGTATGTTGTATGGACATTGAGACCAAACTTTTGGCTATATGTTCTTATACACACAAGGCTTTCGAGAAACATGTACTATAACTTTGATTCTATGATTATAAGGTTCATGTTGTTTGTGTCAATTTGCAGTAGTCATTTAGGTGGATTTATACTTGTATGGTACTACATTTGTTTTTGTCTGAGAAAGTTAAAGGAAATTTACAAGGTGGAAACAGAATATAGAAATCCATGCAAGCAAACTCAACAGCTAGCTTGCAAATGCTCAGATGCCTTGTAGTGCTGCAGGGGTGCTTAGATGACTAGTAAAAGAGGTTCTCTAAGATGATATCTGTTTTATAGAGTCACCACCTAGAGTTTCTTTAGTAAGTCCACAAAAAGGGTTTCCTTGTAAGTCCACAAATAATGATTCCTTACTGAGTCCTAAAAGGCATTCCTCACTAAACCCTCAAAAATGGTTTCCTTTCTAAGGCTTTATGTTTATGGTCAACACTTCTCAACTGAAAAAATTAAATAGCCTCCAATTTTTATGCAAGTATGGTTTCTAAATATATGCTTCCTTCATTGTTTCACTTTCCATATTTCATTTCTGTTTGCGGGACTGTTCTATTAGCTATGACAATATTTGCTAGATAATGGCACAGTTAATTTTCTGATGACAGAGGGGTGCATCCCCCCAACTCATGCTTATTCAGTTTGTGGAAAACTTATATGTTGGCCTGGGCCTATTCAATTTCATCGAACAGCTTTTATATATCCCCATTTTGTGGTGATTAATATGCTAGTTAATATGCTCTTAACATAATTCTTTTGCAGTTCCTGACGTGACTAAGTCAACATGGCAGTCACTTGTGGTGGAGAGTGAACTTCCGGTTCTCGTTGAGTTCTGGGCTTCGTGGTGCGGGCCATGCAAAATGATAGATCCTGTCATTGGCAAACTTTCAAAAGAATATGAAGGGAAGCTGAACTGCTACAAGCTCAACACTGATGAAAACCCCGACATAGCAACCCAGTTTGGGATAAGAAGCATTCCCACAATGATGATATTCAAGAACGGTGAGAAGAAAGATGCGGTGATTGGAGCTGTGCCCGAGAGCACCCTGGTCAGCAGCATCGACAAATACATCGGGAGGTAAAATGTCAGGTTGAATATTTTCTAGGCAGTTGGGCTTCAACCTTCACGCCCAGATGGATATATTGTCATCTATGAACTCCATTTCTTTTCGAGAATAGGCAGGAGAATCGTAAATTATGGAACCCCGGTTTGGTAGTTGTATGTACATAATAATGTGATAACCGCTAATAAATGCAATTCAAGGCTGAGCCCTGCGTGGCCTTCTGGATCGAAGGTATGGAAGGTTGCTTCGAGTTGCTTGTTTCATTCTTTGGATTGTATACTAGTACTACTAAATGCCGATATGATAACCATATTCGGCCGAATTGTCATTATCAGATTTTAACGGATGAAATGTTTGCCGGGAGTGTGGGCATGAATGCTTGATCAACAGATCAAGCATATGTTTGATCTACAAGGGCAACTAGGCCATTCACCCATTCCTGTTCGGCTGTTGCAGCGAAATAAAGTCCTATCGTATACTCGAGACCCTTTTTTATTTTTAGAGAGACTTCCACTCAAGACCTGGCTGAACAAGTAGTGGACGTGGAAATCAACTGGCTGCCACCACAGTATATGGAACCTGACTGGATCTCCTCTCCGGATCCACTCCGGATCCAGATCCTCTGCATTGGAGAAGCTAATGCAGAGGGTGGCATTAGCTTCAATCCTATCCGTCCATCATCATCCAACGGCTGCAGCTTCTTTTTCCCTTCGATATTGGTACTAGAAACAAACAAGTCCTCCTCACCGGTGACCACAGCAATGCAAGCGCAACAACGGCAATGAGTCCGCTTTGGCGATCTAAACCGCTGCGCCTCTTCCCTTGACCTATATTATCACCACCATGAGAAGCTGAGAGTAACACCGAGCTCATGATTATCGAAAGAAAATGAAGCAACAGCGCATGCAACGATCGGTTCTCTCGGTGCTTATCCGTAGTGCAGTTCGCGCCACAGGCCAACCCTTTAATATCTAGCACAACGCCATGATTTTCGTTCATCCATAGCTTCTGCAGCGCCGGCGATGCAACATACTTCACGAGCCAGCGATTCGAGTAAATCGATATTCCCTCCATCCATAAATATTTGATCATTCGTCTTATTTAAAAATTTTTATGAAATATACAAAACTATATGTATATATAAAAGTATATATGTATATATAAAAGTACATTTAACGATGAATCAAACGATAGAAAAAAAATTAATAATTACTTAATTTTTTTTAATAAGACGAACGGTCAAACATATTAGAAAAAGTCAACAGCGTCAAATATTTTAGGGACGGAGGGAGTAAAATGGAATCAATAAGAAAAAGCAATCGCAGCCATTCCCTCTCAGATGGATGGCTAGGATTTGGCAGAGGATTTGTGGTCACCGGCGAGGACTTTTGTTTCTGGTACCAGTATCGAAGAGAAAAAGAAGCTGCCGCCGTTGGATGATGATGGACGAATAGGATTGGAGCTAATGCCACCCTCTGCATTAGCAGAGGATCTGGATCCTCTCCTCTCCGTGAACAGTAGTACAGTACTTGATGAAATGTAGGACAGGGGAAAGTGACCACAGATCACAAACCAAGCTAACGGAAGCTGAGCAAGCTGGGCCATTGCGATCGGACTGGCACATGCTGTTCTTTCCGGACGAGCTCGCATCACGTACTAACGTACTGCCCCGCTGCACGGCTGCCCCAGGTACCGCGACATAGCCACTCGTGAAGTCGCGAACAAACGTCGGCAACTCGGCAGATTTGCGTCCTTGACGCACAATAATTCGCCCGTCTCTTGCCTGGCGCGACAGGCGATCTACTCCACGCGACACACAAGCCGATTGATGTGCACTCGGAATGATTGCTCGGGCCTCACCTAGGTCCATCTGCTGCGGCCACCCGCGAATGCAAAAGATGCAACTTCTGCTCGTGTAGTCGTGTTGAGTGATCGGGTGAGTACGTGTATAGCTTTGTACCTGTGACTTTGTGTGGCTCGTGATTTTGGTGTAGAGTGCACGAAACGGAATCGCTATAGCTAGTGCAATAAATAATTCAGATCGACCAACAGTGCCCCGTAATCTCTCGGCGATTGGCGACGACAATCACGTCGTGATCGGCACGAGTGACGAGTGCCGCGATGCAAAGTCGACAAGAAAAGCACGGACAGTTTGGTCGCCGGGCAGTTCGAGCGAGCGTATGGCGGCATACGGAAGGGGTCGCTCTCGTGAAACGGCGAACGATCTCATCGTGACGCCCGCGCGCGGCGGCGGCCGTGGCGCGCCGTGCCGTGATCCCGTTGGGCCTCTCGGCCCCAACCGCGTCGCGCCCATTGGCAACGGTGGCGTACGTAGCGTAGCGCCGTTGTGATTCAACGGCTCGTGACCTCACAACTCACAAGTACTAATAACCACAAGAAAGCGATCGGCATTTCATACGCAACTTGCGTAACGCAAGTGCGAGTTCATCGCCTAGCAATGCGTGCGAGTGAAACGGGGGCACGATGATTAACCGGATAAGATCTCATCTCTCCCCGCACCTCATGCCAACAAACTCCAAAATCTTCGATGGCGCGTACGTGTGTGCAGGAGAAAGATTCTCATTGCTGTTTCCACTCCCTTTTGTTTGCCTTTTACGCTCCTTTTTGTTGCCTTCCGTGGCCCACAATTCTGAGGCATTGAGCCAAATGGACCAACAACCCTACACCCCCTACCACCACAAAGGATCATCATTTGTTCACATTCTTTGAATAAAAAAAAGGCTATGTTTATCCTCCATTGTCTTATAGAAAACAATACGATTAAGTTCTTGGTCAAGAAAAATAAGATGGTTATGTTTATCCTTACAAAAATATCAGAGGCGACGACCTTTAGAGAATCAAATCCAATAGTCTAATTAGCAGGAGCAGAGCGACCCACCAAACAAGGAAAAAAAAAAGCAGGGGAACCGGTTTCCCTTGGGCAACGAAAGCTTCACGGCGAGCGAGGGAAAGAGAAGAGAAGAAAAGAAAAAGGAAATCTCTCATTCCCCTCGTCGCTCCCCGCGAGGAAGGCAAGGAAAGGCAGGAAGCCGTCCACTTCCCACTTCGGCCTCCGCGCCGGCCACTGACGTCGACGGCGAACCACTCGTCTCCTCTCCTCTTCTCCCTGCTGCTCCGAGTCGTCGCCTCTGCATGGAGACGGGAGAGAGAGAGACAGGGGGGAGGCGGACGTCCGGCGTGCAGTACAGCTGCTAGCTAGCTTGCTAGCCAGTGCAGGTCAGCCACCAACCATACTCCTGTTTGCTGATTGCTCCGTGTGCTTTGTTGATTGTTGGTGATGCGATGGTGTAATGAACTAGTGATCTCATCTGATCGTGTTCTTGGTTTTTGAGTCGGCGCCTCTGGTTTCTTTTGCTGGTGCCTGCTGTTGTTTCAATCGATCAGGTGAATTCTTGCGAGTTTGAGTGCATATGATTCTGTTTGTAGTTGATTCAGGGTTGGAGCTTTGCCCTTACTGCTTTTTAGCCATGCTTCTAGATCATTTAAAAGTAGAGAAATGAAATGAGAAACTGATTCGCAATGGCCAATGGGCCGAGTTTTGGTCTTGGTCAATTATGCACCCGTGTTCTTTCAGACTTGTTGATGGCTTGATGCAGTTGATTGCAGTATGTTATCTTTGAGCCAAGCACAGTTTCTTTATAAAATATGAACTGTGCTAATTTGGTCAACTAATATTGTTCATTGTAGGCAGGTTCGAAATTTTAAGCCGTCGTAGTGTATGTGTGTTAGGACAGGAAATCATGTCAGTGTATCTTTGTTCTTGGTTTTCATTTAATCAATCAAGATACGATTACTACTCTTTTAGGATAAACTTTTTTTGCCGGGTCGGCCGAAGGAACCGGCGAGCGAATTTCATTAAGATTTGAGGGGAGAAAAATACAAATTTTGCTTACAACAACAGGAGGCTGTTGAGATGGGACCAAGGCTTAGCCTCAGCCCCAGTAAGCTGAAATAAAATCAAACCACAAACAAGGAAAATGTGCTAACTATTGTTTGTCTCAAAATAACCTGCTTCCTTCCACAGAAGAACCTCTTCTTTGATTGCTTCGGCCAACTGTTCAGGGATCCTCGACCGCTGATCAAACACACGGGCATTCCTCTCTTTCCAAACTGTCCAGCAAACTAGCATGCACACACTGTCGAAGTTGTCCCTGTAGCAGTGCCGAAAACGCAGCCTGGCCTGCATCCACCACTCAGTGAGCCCAAGTTCGCTTCTCCCAGGAATGGGGAAGGGAACGTTGATCCAATTGCGCAACAAACTCCAAACTCTCACTGTATAAACGCATTTACTGAACAGATGTGCGCAATCTTCAGATTCTCGTGTGCACAGAGTGCAGCAGTCAGAGTGTGGCCAACCCCTCTTCTGAAGATTATCAGCAGTTAGACAGCGCCCCTTTGTGGCCAACCACATGAAGAATCGAATTTTAGATGGTGCCTTCGCATGCCATATTAGTTCTCCCACCGGGCACAGCTCCATTGATTTGAAGAACAGATCATAAGCTGATGTGCTTGAGAATTGGCCATCTGGCGTTAGTTTCCATCTAATGCTGTCTTCTTCTTGACTTAGGTGTATCGTCTGTAGCTCACTCCATAGCTCGAAGTATTGGGCTAGGGCTTCGTTTGAGAGGGAGCCACGAAGATCTCTCACCCATCTGTTGCCTGTTAGAGCTTGTGCCACGGACAGATTTGATCTGCCCACATAAGTCGATAGAATGGGCCACCTCCAGGCAATGCTGCCTCCCCCAAGCCAATTTGAAGTCCAAAATTTTGTGTTTTGTCCATTCCCGACGATGAACTCAGCCATTGATTGGAAAATTTTCTCCACTTCCCCTCCAAGTTGAAAGTCCACCATAGACCATGGTCTGTTCTTGTGCTGTAGCTTGGTGACCTGCCATTTTAGCCGCAATGCATGACCAAAGTATTCCAAATTCTTGATCCCCAGCCCCCCATTTTCCACTGGCATACAGACGTTTTTCCACGCGACCAAGCAGTGTCCACCGCTCACTTCCTCTTGCCCTTTCCAAAGGAATCCCCTGCATTTGCGTTCAATTTCTTTTATCGCCCATTTAGGCAGCTGAATCACTGACATTGTGTGTACAGGGAGGGCCATCATTGTTGATTTGATCAAGCATAATCTGCCATCGTGTGATAGCATCCTTGGCTTCCAACCAGCTACCTTTTTTGCAAGCTTATCAAGGATTGGTTGCAACTCCATCTTTGTTGGTCTTCTCATGGATAGCGGTATCCCCAAGTATATAATTGGGAATTGCTCTATCTTGCAGCGAAGGATGTCGGTGATCAATTGGAGCTGCTGCTCGCTACACCGGATTGGTGTAATTGCGCATTTTGCCAGATTTGTCTTCAGCCCTGTTGTGTCACCAAATCTTTTAGGATAAACTCATAAACATGGTAGTAATTATATGCCTTGGTTTCTCCATCTTAATTCATTTGCATGCTAAACAGAAGTTTGTTACTAGTTTTATGTTTCACCCATTTGTTCTTGTGATTTATCTCAAGGCCGTTTACATGTGGTTATCCTTTCTTTGATGGGAAGTGTAACTGACAGCCTTAACCCTATTGGAAAATTAGAAGGAATAATTAAGATGTTGCTTCCACTCTTTACTTACACGTCGATTGAGTATACCTGATAAATGTGTAGATGGAATGATTCTTGTTTGGTACTAATCCGAATAACCTATATCTGTGTAAGTTTAATCATATTGATATTGTGGCACACAAACAATTTGACAATGAAAAGCTGCATCAATGCAACTAAGCTTTGCACAGTTCTACTGAACTTTTCTGCTTGTGCATTTTTATTTGTAGCCTTGGGGTACCATTAGCAATTTTGTGATGTATCTTGGTTGATCTCATTTTCATGATTCGTACTATTCATCAGTACTTTGTTTCTTGGCCACAAAAACGCTAGCTGGACAACTGTAGAAAAACGACGTGCTTGGAGCTGTATGTATGATAAGGAAAGGAGAGAAATGCATATAGGCACCTTAGTTCTGACTGCACATATCGTCTGTGGATATGGGCTAATATTATTTAAGAAAAAACAACTCCAAGTTGTTGGCCGAATATTTGTTGTTTCCTGATCTTATCACAAGATTGAATCATCATCTTCCCTGATCACTAGATATGATTTAAAACTATATAATAAGAAATGATGTGCTTTTCTCTTTGGTTTTGTTCAGTCGCTTGAATACGTCAAGTGCTACATATGGAGTCAGGAATCTAGTTATTCCATATATTATTACACCACTTCATCGTTTGCTTTTCGGTTTATTAACATAGATAAAGAACCGATTGACGGCTCAGTTTCTTTGAAGGAAAAAAAAACACAGAGATAATCATACTTATGGAGCAAGATCAGGTTGGGCTTTGGGGTCGGCAAGCTGTCTTCTTCTCCGTACAATTCGCTGTGTGGTCACTGATCATCTCTTATTTTTTCTTGACAAAAAATAGTGGTGCTAATCCGGTCAGTGTTTCAGCGACCTGGTGGCGTTGTCCAAATTAAATCGAGCGTAAGCAGATTATAAATGCCGGATTGCTTAATTGCTTTCTTCTTTGCTTTCCTCTCAAGGCAATAGCAAGTCTATTTTCTATAAAAAACAAAGGCAAACTCTCTTCTTCTTGTTATTGTTTTTGCAAAGATAAACAAATGCAAAATTCGGGTTGATAATTACGGGTTTTGACCTGTAAGATTCTTGTATCCACTTCAGGTTGGGCAATCAGACTAGTTTTACCGACTGGTGTGGTGACCGGTGACCGTGTAAATCCGCAATGCAATCAATCATCAATGACATTTCTACAATCGAACCACCGTAGTGGATGACTGGATGTGATAGCAACATATAGATCGAAGCTAAACTAGTAGTATGACCGAACAATTTTTTTTAGAAAAAGTAAAATTTAATCAATAGTAGTTTTCTTATACAATTTGCCCTGTGGTTGTTTATATTTGGTATGGAGGCATGGAGCCTTATTTAAATCCTCTGCTTTATCTGAAAATATCTTGTCTGATCGACGTGGGACCTTCTGGATTTGGACAGACTAGTTAGGACTAAACAACGTCCTCAGACAGAAAACCCTACGGTTTTGGTCTTCTTGTGGTTAGTTCCACTGTCCATTTTTGCTGCCAGCGGCCTATCACCAGCACACGAACCGGTCGCACGGACAAAACGGTACAACTTGCTTTGCCTGAATTCTGACCGGTCATCGTACACGTTTCGGTGACCAATCATGGTGAGGGATTGGTGTGGACAGTGTGCTTGTTTTTCTCTCTTGCTCGCTGATCAATCCATCTTCTTTTGTCGTCGGTTATAAACTTATAATGGTCTGACATTCCTGTTAGCTTTGCAGCCCGGCGAACCATCGATATAAGGAAAGATTTTGTTTGATCGAGGTGGGGATGGATCAGCTTTGCACGAGTGGAGGCAGCGACAGCGACAAGTCTTTGGCGGCCGGCGATGAGCCGGCGGTGAGAGTCCGAGGTGAAGTGGAGGCGGAGGCGGCGGCGGCGGCGGCGGCGGCAGAGGCGCAAGGCGGTGGCTGCTTCGACTGCAACATCTGCCTGGATTTCGCCACGGAGCCGGTGGTCACCCTCTGCGGCCACCTCTACTGCTGGCCCTGCATCTACGAGTGGCTGCACCCCGGCGGCGACGACGACGGAAGCAACGGCGACGCGAGCTCGACGAGGCGGCGTCCCTGCCCCGTGTGCAAGGCCGCGGTCTCGCCGGACACGCTCGTGCCGCTCTACGGCCGCGGCCGCGGCGGAAGTTCCAAGAGGGCCCGATCCGGCTCGGCCATCCCGCGCCGGCCGATCGTACATCGGGAGCCCGTCGAGCGGCAGAGCGATCGGCTCGGCGACGACGACGGAGGACACCGACACGGGAGCACGGGATCCAGCCCGCCAGTCCGGTCACCGTGGCACGCCAATCACCACGCCGCCGCCGCTAGCACGCCGGCGCCGGCGCCGGCGCGGTTGTTCGACGTGGTCTACCCTCCACCACCTGCTGCCGTGGGCGGCGTGGGCATGTTCCACTCGACGACGACAACGACCGGAGGGATGCTCGGAGGGATGGCCCTGGCGGTGCTCCCGTGGGTGTCGCGCGGGCAGTCGCCGGCGACGGCGGCGGCGAGCGCGTACTACACGAGCCCTTACCACATGAGCCCCAGGCTGAGACGGCAGCACATGGAGGTGGAGAGGTCCCTGCACCAGATATGGTTCTTCCTTGTCGTGTTCGCGGTGCTCTGCCTGCTTCTCTTCTGAGAGCGGCGCACACCAGATGATCTGCACCTTCCAGGAGATCCAAGTTGTACTCCTAACTTTCGTGTACATAGGTCGTGTACATAGGTAAAAAAAAAAAAGGTGCGTCATGCCGCCCAGTAGGCAGTAGCAGTTCCGTACTGCCGTGCCATCCAAAGCAACCCTCTTGCAACTCCTCGAGCATGTTCTGATTTAGGGCGCTGCTTAAGCAAAGGCCAATGTGAATCGATGACTCATTTTGCAGAGATGCAGCATGCCATTTTGCGCACATCAGTGTTAAACAAGTGAGACCATTCATCTGCCGAGCGGACGCTGTTAAGTAGTGACACGATGCTAGAGATGACAAGAATGTTACTACTAGTACTAGTACTGCTGCATTTCTGTCGGACCATGGCCTCAGTTCTTTCTTCCTTCTGGCACTAGCGAGGTGGCAATAATGAGTTCGAAATGTCTGCAATGTGCAGACAAAACGAATGCAGTGCACGTAACTTCCACAGTTCAAATACCCAAAAGGAGAAGGGAAAGAACTACTGTAGTAAGGTTCAAAATGGACATCAATGATGCCGCAGCTATGAACATCGACTTCTGTCAGTTTGTCACTGAGAGCCACCACCTTTGTACATGAACCTAATCCTGCTGATCCTGCTTCTGATTAATTGGGATGAGGATGGTCCCAGGGTTGGATTCCTCTTCAGTCCACACAATCGATTTCTTCTCCAGATACTTCATCACCTGGCCAAATTCATCACGTAAAGACAGTTCAATACCATGTATGTGCAGCACGTAGTTACAATTCTAAAGTCGTGGTATTTCGCACAACACGTTGCAGTCAAAAACAGCCACTCTCCTTGTCATATAGTACAAACCAAGGAATTACGCATTAATGCCTCCTAAGTCTTAACTTCGGCAAAAGATTCCAGAGTTCAAAGAGTAGTAATTGCAAAAGCTCTTAACAAAAGTACATGCAGAGATTCAAGCATATTACGCTTTTCGCATCATACCAACAACGCTACAGTGTTATTACCACAATGGAAAAACTAAAGCCTACAGAGTACTCAACCAGCAAATTGATAAATAAAGAAACCGTTCAACTTAGGCACAAGTCCACTAATCTAAAAATCTTGCTGCCAAAAAAGGACAAGAACAAAGCAGAGGACAACAAACACTGAACATATGAATGCATGCAAGCTTCCACATCTTTAAAACAGCTGAGGAAATCACTCTGTACCGCCCATACCTACAACTTCATTTTAAAGTTTAGCATGCCCTTGGTGTACTTCTGTTTTATTTTATTCTCTTTTATTTTTACATGTGTGGTTTTGAATTTCTTGATCCATAATTTGGCTAAAGGACTGGTCATAACCATTACTGAGTTAAATAGTGCAATGAACTAATGATGTCAGATTTATAGAGCAAAATGCCACTAGATGCTTATATTAGCCAAGATAACTAGGTGGATATTTGTAGTTTGGATAAAGAACATAGTGCAGCCTAATAATTGGTATCTGAGTCATGCACACAGATAACTAGCAGATGAAGCAGAAAATTCAGTAGTAGTAAAGCAACTTTGAGAAAATCACCTTTCTTCTTCTTTGTGCCGATTTGAAACTGCCATCCTCAGCACCAGTAATGACTTTCAAGTACTCAAAAGCTACAACATCAGGTAAATTAGATAAGACTACGCAAAAAAATATATATCAAGAAATGAAAAGATTTATGTGCTCATCTCACATGGGATATTAGACAACTGTCTAAGATGAAGTCTCACGAGATTTGCTACGTTGGCTGGATCTTGTCCACGCAGGTCAAGACACAACTCATTCTTTGACTCTACTTTTCTGCAAGAAGACCCATAAACTTGGTAATGTAAGGTTTCTAAAAAGAAACAACAAACGTAACAGATTAATTTCAGCTATAATGCAGAAAGGAAGCGCACTTACTTCGACTTGACAATCTCCGCAGAAGATTTTTCATCAGCCAGTCGAGCCATCATGTAATAGTGTTTCCCCTTGATATCCAACAAAGAATAGCCAGTTAGTCGTTTTTTTAGAAGTGGCCATTACATCAACAGATGAGCATATACAAGCTGGCAAATGTTTCTATGTAGTACATTTTTACTTAGAGAATAGAAGCAGCTCAAAGACAGGCCAAATAATCATACATTCAAACGTAATGACGATGCCCATAGTCACACTCATACACTCATACTGTCATACATAATAACTCTGCTGGCCAAGATATATGTATTCCTCTATCAATATACCAATAGGTTCGTTTTTGACAAAAATGCATAAGACCCCTGGTTCAAAACCCCACTATAATATTAAATAATGTCCTCTAGTTCTTGCTCAAGAAAATGATTACTTACTTCCCCAAGAAGATACTCGACTTCTTTCTGGTTACCCTCCCTAAAAGCATCAACAGCCTGGAATTTTCATTGAAAATTCTTCAACATGGAAAAAACAAAAAACGATCTGTTTGCAGAAAACGAAATAAACATCAAAGCATAAAGAATCATCATGAAGCCCCCATACCTTCTCATAGTATTGCTTCATCATATCCCAATGCTGCTTCGCAGCCCTACGATAGTTCTGGTAATCTTCCTCATTATGTGCAACTAGTTCTAGATACAAACCAAAACAATTTCAAAACAAATAATGCATTATAACTTTTCATGGAATACAGGATGATAAAATCTCAATTATGACAAACATCTTGCATTAAGGCAGAGTGTGAAGACTTAAGAGACCAGTCGATTAGAAGCTTCATGTTAGCAGTTTTTATCACCAAATTATCAAAAGGTTTTGATTAAAAAATATCAAAAGCTTATATTAATTCAAACTATATTTTCTGCTTGTAATCACAATTGTGTCCTCTGTATCCTTCATGAAAATATAGAACACAATGGATATCACTTTCTGACTTGCATAGTTTGAAAGATTTCATTAAGAAAAAGGAAAACATAAACAGTTCCCATAGTTGTCCTTGACTTAGTTCAAACAAATCTGCTAACATCAGTACTAAGATGCAAAGCATGTACAAACCAACTAATAGCGAAAAATCCATTTGATACATCACTGCAAATCTTTAATACTATCATTCTGTAGGTCTATAACCATCCAGAATAACCATATAGATCTAATACTGTGATGGACATGATACTCCTATGTCCAAACTCTAAATAAGTCAAATGGTTCAACATACAGTAGGTAAACTACATTTACAATTTTACCCATCCATCACAGATTGTTAAAAGAGGACTTGTGAGACAGAATTCTACCACAAATGTTCGGTGCAGGCTAAAGAAATGTGATATCATGTAGAAATATAACTGAGCTTGGTATTGATGTTTGTCCTGATTATGTATTAAGAATACATGGCTATACACACAATATCATCTTGAACTTTATGTTTGGCTTACTGAACAGAATTATGTAATTCAGAGTGCAAACTACTTTTGAAAGGTATCTCATATAGTGCAGTCTAAACAGTAAATTTTGTTGTAGGATACAATGTTGATGCAAAAAAGCATAGAAATTACAATAAAAGATGAAAGGGACAGAATATAACGCCAGTATATTCCTCAGAGAAAAGCGAAAAATATGGAAGCAGAAGTGTGTAACAATATACCTTTGCTAAGGATAACTTTCACTGGATAACAGTTAGTTTCTGATGAGATGTCCTCAAGGGGTTCTACAACTGGTTTCTGATCTGGTACTCTGTTTCGATTTGCACCCAGTTCATATCGTTTTCCTATTGGTTCCTCCTCGGATCTTTCAGGTACAGTGAAGATTGACACTAGCAACTCTCCTGGAGAAATCTGACTTGAGCTATGTCTCTTGCCTCGCAAAGAATAGGCACTGCCATTCCTACAAAGAAGAGTGTCGATGAAAGTAAAATAGATGTAGCCTTCATGATGGGAAGATAGGAACAGACCAATAATGAAGAGAAGAAGCAAGAACCTAAAGGTGGATTGTGATTCTAGGCAGCTTCCCTTTGTAGAAGAGCATTCTACTGCTGCATCCTGCACCATTACATGACACAGGGTGGATATAATTAAAATGTTTATACAATATGAAACCCATGAAACATGCATATTGTTGCTTAATATAACAGAGTGGTCTGACTCCCTTCACATACAATAGTAGCTGTATTGAAAAAATTCGAAGCATTAACCAATAACAAATTCTGTTGCTCAGTTACCAATTGGAAATTTGGAACTAGCGATCTAACATCTTAACTGAGACAGCATATCAAGTCCTATGTTAATTAGTAATTACGAAAGGGCTGTACCATTAAATTAAAATAAATAAGTGCACGAGTGCTAGCTATAACATGTACAAAAATATATAAGCACCATAATTTTTCAATTGGTGAGGTAAAATGGAACAGTACAAAAATATGTACAGAAAAAATAAGCATAAAGGAAGTTCTGCATAAAAAAAGCACTATAACATATATAATGGGGCATAAATACTTAAGATTTTCACCATATTTCAGCCGAGCAACATGGAGAAATTAACATGTACAGGTACAAAAGCAAAATCCATAAGTACAAAGGAAGAAGAAAGTCATATAACACTGTTGAAGTAGCAAAAATAAAATTTAAGCTTGCCTGTGCTATATAATGTTTGTCTTCTGCCTTCTTGCTTGTATCTTTTGTAGAAACTGACATCAGTTCCTCCATGCTCTGCATAAAATACCATGATTCTGTTAGGTGTGCAAATGAGAAGGTACATTAAATGAATTATGCACCCTATGACCTAACTCTAAACCCTTTTGATGCATATACGACAATCAGTGTCAACACAAAAAATACATAATCTTTACAGTAGTGATCGATTACTACCTTCTTAATGTCATATCCACAGCTGCCTGCATAAGAAATTAAAGATAGTTAAAAACAGCTTGAAACAAGCAAGTGGAATATGGGGAAATGGCCTCACATAGCACGCACGAGTTTACCTAGAACCTCACGGATCATGTCCATGCTGAGCTTGAATCCTTCTCCAAGCATAGAAAATAGAAATTCCTCTATATCTCTATTATTCAAAGTCTCTCTCTTTGGTGCAGAATCAGATTTATCAACTTTCCCATTAAAATCGTCCCGCATGTACTCTGGTAACTCAACCATTGGAGGTTTTTCCTTTCCTGATGCTCTATTCATCAAAGGTACTGTAGCCCTGGTCGATCCCTTTCCTAACATACTGGATACAGTGCCAAATGAAGCACTAGACTTCTGCATTTTTTCCCGAGATTTTGCTTGGCCTGAACTCTCTGTACTGTTTTCTTCAATTGCCTTACCACTTGGGGGATGAATAGTCCCAACACTTGAGTCAACTTCATTGCTCTTGGCCATAGGATGTTCAAGTTCAGTCAATAGATCACCAGCTCTGTTGACATCACCATTTGCTCTGCAATATGCCGTAGCTATATCATCAAGCGAAAAGGCAGAACTGAAAGCATCAAGCAATGCATTAAGTGCCCTTGTCTCGTCATCACTGGATGGAGTTTGTGAATGGCGAAGATCCATGGTGAGAACACTTTTAAAAGAACCTCAAACAATGCTGTCGAACCTGCCAAAAAAATCTGGCATTAACCAAATGAAACGAAGTACTGATGCTCGGAGTTATGCTGTGAATACTGAATACAAGGAACTGCTGAGAACTTTCAACAGAAAAGGTGAAATCCAGAAAAAAAAAGGGAGGAAAAAAATAACAAAATGATATTTCAAATATATCCAGGGCTAGGTGGTTCATCCTAAACATTCCTGAACAAAGTTGTAAGAGAACAACCCCCCCCCCCCCCAAAAAAAAAAGAGAGAGAGAGAGAGAGAGAGAGCAGGTCAAGTGGTACGACTCCCAGTATGAACTACAGATGATCTCAACCCCGGTTCCCATAAAAAAAATCAACTAGGGACCCACAAATGTTCTATCCGCGCCCATGTGATGCTGTGATCAACACAAAACATTTGCGGTGGACACAAGGAAGAACTGTAGAAAAATATTCTTCAATAACTGACACGGTTTGAGGACAGAAAATCAGGGACACATGAAGGATCACAATACTATCATGTTCTAACGCCCCCAAGCATCACAGAAGCAATGCAGCTGCAATCCGACACTACTCAAGGCAATTACCTCTGCAGATCAAACAGAGGACAAGCGATCAGACACAAAACGCCCCTGTATCAGCCGAAATATAGCTTCCAAGCGAATCGGAGGCATCAAATAGAACAACTGATCAAAAATGGCAAAAAAAACATTCGAAACACATGGGTAGGGGCGGATCTAACATGGGAAATGGGGGTTCAGTTGAACCCCCAAACATTTTGGGAACAAGCAAACTGTTATTGGTATTAAAGTTTAACACCAAACTTTTTGGGAACAATCAAAGTGTTATTCGTATTAAGGTTTTTCGCAAATTTCTAGAACAGAAGCTAGGGTTTAACGCAAATTCGAGAAAAAAAATGCGTGGGTAGAGAGAGATGGGAAAGAGGATGCGCGCAACGGACGGATGCAGCGGAAGAAGCGCCCCTGCTCGCTCGTGGGATGGATGGGGGATCGGCGCAGGCGACGGCGTAGGAGGATGTGCTCACCAGGATGCGGCGGAAGCAGCAGGACGAACACGACGGCGCCCCTGATCGCTCGCAAGGATGGATGGGGATCGGCGGCGGCGGCGGATGATGTGCTCACCACGACGCGGCGGAAGCAGCAGGACGAACGGCGGCGCGTCGGCTCGCTCGCGCTCGCGGGATGTATGGGGATCGGCCCAGGCGAGGGCGAGGGCGAGGGCGAGGGCGGGCGAACTCACGAGAAGAGGGATCAGGGATACCCTGGAGAGAGTTTGAGACGGTGGATTTCTTTTTTATATAATAATAGGGTTGAGACGGTGGATTTGGTGAAATCATAGCCATTCTTGTGTGTTTGTACGGATGAGATCACCTAAGACCAGTATAATCTATTGCGTGCGCGCGCACTAAACTGCCCCTAATCTCATGTGAGCCGTTTGATGCAAAACAAAAAAGTAGTGGAACCAAAGCTTGATTAGGGTAGAACTAGAGATAATTAAAACTGGTTTTTCTACCTTATAGTTTTAGTTTATTTTTCTAAATTCTTTTTAGTTTTTTTTTCTAAATTCTACAATTACAGTCTTTCAGAGTAAGAAACTGCAGTTGAACTGCTTGGAAAAGCTTCTAATTCTGTAAGAAACTGTAGCTAATCAGAAACTTCTCTACACAGGCTCTTAAATCTGATGCCAGTAATGCTGAAATGATGAATTATAAAAATAAGTATAAAATTCTTATACGGTATGGGCAAAAACTAAGGCAAACTTTTTTTCAGGAACATTACTGGCACATCGGAGTCGCCAGTTGCAACATTCCGCAACAGACCTTACCGTTTGTTTGGCAATTGTGAGGTTGCATTAGTAAATCTTGTTGGTTTGTTGTCTTACCAATAATAATTGTGAGGCTTATTTTGGCAATGAAGTAAACAACACCAGCACTTTTCTACACCATACATTGATGATACTACAAAATTTTCATTCGGTGCCATGGTTACAGTTTCATGAGTTACAGTAACACTGAAACGCTGCTTCTAGTGTGGACGGAACAAAATGAATCAGTAACAATTAACAAAGAAATATCGACTTATCGAGTATTGTATCCCACTGCATACAAGCACACATGACCATGTCTAACAACCATATATATGACCATATGCGCACAGAAAATGTCATCTGAAACAAACCAATCTAAATGCATAAATCTATGAATCTTTTTTCGGCGCCTTTCTCTTCATCCGGCTGAAAGGACCAACAGTTTGGTCCATGATGTACATGTATATCACCTGGCTCCAAGATTTGTATGATTTCAGATTGTTGTAATACTCTGGTGCGATTTCCCTTACCTTGTACAGTCTTGTTCCTGGAATTCTTGGGAAATCATGGTGCTCATTGTGGTATCCAACATGCCATGTCATCAGATTCAAAGGTCCATAATACGAATAAGTCTCCTGGTCTGGATTGAATACGTAGTGCTCTGAGATGAAATGTCCAGCCATAGGATGCATGCCACCACCAACAAATGTTGAGAGTATCAGATAAGCTAGTGATTTCCATCCAAAGAAGTACACCATGCTGGCATCAAGCGCAATCTGGATAATCAAATTGGTGAATTCCCACAGGCCAGGAGGTTTTGGCTTGAGGAACAGCGGTCTAAGGGCATAAAAGAACAGCTGGAAGACAACCCATACAGATTTGCTTAGAGTATTCTTAACAGCATGCGCCTCTGCTTGGCTGGGGATATCCATATCAATTCCATCAACACCTTGGAAACGGTGGTGCTCCAAGTGGTACTTCTGGAATGTAATGGACATGGGAACACCGATAGGAAGGTTAGCAAATATACCTAGCCAGCGATTGTAGCTCGGAGTTGTGAACGCAAGATTGTGACTGAGCTCGTGGATTGCAAGGAAGAGATTGTGGTTCAAAAAGGATCCAAAAAAATATGCAACTGTCAGTATCTTCACCCAACTAGCATCTCGGAGTAATGTGGCAGTCCATAGCTGAAGTGATACAACTGCAGCAATCTGCAACAAAGTTACAAACGAAGCGAAAACGTATAAGCATTAATTAATGATGGAAGGATGTTTTCTTATTGATACCCATCTAAATGGATATTTTAAAGATAACTCTGAATAGAAAGGTATCATACTCCAATCAATTTCATAAGACCACAAGTATTACAAATTCTCAGTGGAGGGTATTACATCCATAGTGAGGAACTAAAAGGCAAATGCCATAAAGGGCATGGAACCTCTTTTGCATATGAAGCTAAAGCATTGCGTTAGCGAGAGTGGAGAACCAGACAACTGACCATTACGATTCAAATCCTAACAGGTATAAGAACTATGAAAGGACACCCTGGGCATCCATATAACTTGTCAGGTATCATACAGAATAGGCAGTATGATAATATAACAATTAGGGTTTCTCAAGCACACTGATCTCAACATAAATTCATGAAACCATGGTGCATAGATTTCTGGAGCTTGAATGTTCAAAATTAGCAACACATTATACTTCTAAGTACTCTTCCTATTTTCGGGACAAGATTAGAGAGGGGTGTAATGAATGGTACTCTCTTTATAGGTGTATAGGTCGACAATTGTGTGGAGCACCATCCTGGCAAGTGACATGTTAAGAGCTTTTATGCTTGTTAGTGATAACACATTTATTTTGGAAGTGGAGGCAGGAGGGGTCCATTTAAAGAAATCTGAATGAGATCCAGAGTGTTGTCACAGAACATGTGCATACTTTTTGTTGTTGTTGTGGTTGTTGTTGAGTTAACTGTTAATAGGATAATTGAAATAGGAACTTTCTGAACGGTTGAGAGGAGATCTGTAAACAATTGGTAATAGCTTACTATACAGCAACCAAAGGAAGTGGCATGAGTATGATTCACAGTAAATCTTGGACGTTAATTTTTTTAGATAATGGGATAGAATGCCGGCCTTTGCTCAAAGAGCTACAACCAATTATTACACCAATTCAAACAAACCAAAAACGCATGACAAAAAAGTCATAAAAAACACAAAAGCCTAAAAGGACAGAAACACACGCTAAGTACTGAAAACCAACACAAGAAAAGACCACAAAATTATTGAATTCTATTTGTGAATCTCCGTCCGAATGGTTGGTCCAATGGCTAAATTAATTTGTGATGAGGTTGCTTGTGGTGAGATGAAAGAAATAAAATTAAATGCAGTTAGTGGGAAATCAATTGTATGAGTACTATACTAGATAAGACAAAATGTAGTTTTACATAGGATACAAAGATTATTAACCAAGGGACTTTGTGACCATGTTAATAGCATTAGATATGTTGGGAATTGAGGTCAATCCTTAACACCTGTCAAGGTAGTATGATACTTCTAGTTGGAGAGTAGCAAAGAATTCCCCTTTTATGAAAGGAAGCCTTACTTCTTCATGACTAATATGAGTTTAGAACCTAAGATGAATACTACAGCTCCAAAGTCCCTATTCCAGTCCCCACCACCAAGAATGCATCGTATGTGCAAATAAGGCAGGTTGCATAATAATGGCTAAGCTTACAGAGACTATTACATGGTGGGTGCCTCGCTGGCCGCTGCAATGCAATTGGAAGCCACACTACATTTACTTATTTAGGCAAGGCAAGTCCTGAGATATTAGGTTGTCCAGGCCTACGGGAAAGTGTATGCCTTCAAAGGAAGCAAGTCGGTAACTAGTGATATGAGGCAGCAATTTTATCCAGCAAGCAAGGCCAAGCAGATTCTGAGGCCAATCGAGCTGCTCAGATAGCATCAAATATTAGGATCTACGAAACCAACCTAACAATTCTGTGGATCAGCACCTTAAGGGTTTATCTTCAAATTTGGAGGCTAAATTTGCCACTAGAATACCTGAGTTAATCACAGATCTGTGAGCTCATTTACTCTTTCACCGATATACTATTTGAAGTTCAGGTTATTATGGCAAGCATCACTGACAACCACATGGCTAAAGACATTCTATATCCATGGAAGGAAATGTAACTATATGTTTTCAAGCATGGAAGTTTGTCTTGTTGGATAGCACCACGCGAATAGAATAATTCGAGGTAAAGCTAGATTTTAAGGGATCCCAGATTGTAAAGGCAGGAAAACTTGCTAACTTGGAACTGAAAAAAAAATCCACGGATGAATTGTGAGAAGTGAGAAAAGTTTCAGCCGTAGTCAGTGCCTGATTAAAAACAGGCGCAAGGCGCATACACGAATAGATAAATCAACCATGTGCAGGTAAAGAGTCGTTCCTAGATTCAGAGAACATGAAATATTCAGCTCTGAATAAACGAAACTAGCACCGAATTCAAATTGGCAAAGTGGGCCGCACGCATCGCAGAAAAAACTCAGCAAACGACACAAAAGCTTCGCGAGGAGCACGTCGTCCGAGCAAGCAAGCAATTTACGACGCGCGCATTGCATCAAAATTTCACCTAGAACAAGGCAGATCACAAAAAGAGAGTGACAGAGAGATACACTTAGCAAGAGAGAAGAGAGATCGTTACGGCCACCTTGAGAAAGGCGAGCGGGTCCGGGCCGAAGAGCTCCTTGATCTGGGGATGCTTGGCCAGGATCTCCCTGCGCCGCGTCGCGTGCGGCTCGTCCGTGTACGACCAGAAGAAGTCCGTCGCCATCACCCCTTCCTCCTCCCGTCCATCCCCCGCCGCGGCGCCCATTGCCACCCCAAACCCCCGCCCGCAACCGCAAGCAAAAGCAAGGATCCGATCGACAAACGGCGGCGCGTCTACCTCCACTCCTCGGAGACAGCGGCGGCAATGCCGGGACGGGGAGCGCACGAGGGGGGGGACTACGAGTCTTGTCGATTTGGTGGCTGGCTGGGGGGCTCCGGTTTCCCGATACGATGGGCCGCCGCCGCCTGCCGAGATGGGAGGAGGTTTCCTGTTCGGCTATTCCGGGGTCGCGGGGGAGGGGGGAGGGAAGGGGAGGAGACGCACGCACGCACGCACCTGGCACGTGCGGTGCAGTCCAGACTGTTGCCGCGGTGAAAGATGCGGGACTAACGTGGGGGTTGGGCCCACCTGTCGGTGGCGGGATGGGCGTGGAGTGAATGTGGGCCGTCAGATCTTGCGCTGGCCGTTTTGGTCCGTCCGTGTGCCAAGCCTAACCGCCTACGGAGAGGACATGGCTTTGTCACGTATTCACGTGCCAGGTTGTCGCTTAGCGTGCACATGGCGAACCGTTCGTCCGTGAATCCGTGATCGTGACGATTTGAAGTTAACTCTACCTAAAACCTTGGTAGACTTGAGCTTATTGGAGTACTATCAGAGCACATAATGTGAGTTTTGTGCTAGTTGCGGGTCTGGCAAAATTTTTGAAGAAAAGTTATATATCTTAGTTTAAGTTCAAACCATCTTACAATTTGTGTTAAGAGTATCTTTAGAACATATTCAAAAGTTTTCCCTAATCTATCTTGCTCCAACATCCGCCTTGGCTCGGAGCCTCGGACTCAATTGGACGGAGCCATCCTTTCGCTTTTTTCGCGCGATAAGCGAAACGGTATATTTGCAAATAAAAAGTAATTTGTGAATAAAACTTTTATATACGTGTTCTTAGCGATCTAAAAGTAAAGGCTGAAAAATAAACTTCGATGAAAAAATCTCAAAATCAGCTCTAAATTTAAGGTTGGAAATTTAAATTTTGGCTGATAAGCATAAGCATAAGCGAAAAGATTACCAGCATAGCAACAACCAACACAACTTAACAAAATCAGCACGAGAGCCAGGTTATGGATGATTGATAATGCAAAAAAAAAAAGTGAAGGCAAACCAATTATTGATTGTATGCGTAGTTTCAGAACAAATAACTGCAAACATCAGTTTAAGACCAACATTAATACATTAGTTGGTAACGAGAAAAATAATCAAACACAAAGATCAAACTTCAGGGCGCACAGGGAAGTAGCTAGGGAACATAATACAGTTCATCTACTTGACACACATACAAGTATATATGCACTTAACTATATAGACCCTGAGGATGTTTTCACCGGGGCCTCTAACCACATGGGATCCCAAACCTCCCAGGAAGGCAAGCAAAACACCAACCAAATCACGCTCTCTCTCCGCTTCGGAGAGGGCTACCTGGGCCCACATGCCAGTCCCACGCACTATTAGGCAGGTATCATCAATAGCTATAGCTACACAAAACAAGTTACTCCAATCTGCAACGCAAGAACGACACAATTCATCCGAAAGTAAACACGCCGTATGGGCCTCCTTGGGGAGCCCAGCCAACGAAACATCAAACATGGGCCGGAGGGGCCTCCTCTAGGCGAAGTTGAGGCGAGAGGTGTAGGTGGCCTTGGGGGTCCAGTTCTTGGGGATGACATCCTGGGCCGAGAGGGTCTGCCTGGTGGTCAGGGTTGTCAGCCTCACCGAGAAGGGCCCCACCAGTGGGCCCGGGGTGAGGCTCCAGGTGGCCCCCCAGATGTGCTTCATGTCCTGCCATTGTGCCGAGTTTGCCTGCACCCACGGCAAAATTGCAAATTACTCAGTGTACCCCAGAATGTAATTAACCAAATATCAGCTACTACGAGTAGAATCTTTGAATTCTTGTAGCGGTGTGTTCACTAAGAAAATCAGAACAAATGCTCTTTAGAATGAAGGGTGGTAGGGTACTGTGTGTCTGATATCCAACAAGCAGAGATGCTAGCATGGCCGGTGAGTGGTGATAGTGGAGTTTATTACGGACCTTTTGGACCAAAAAAGGATAGTGCATATGCTACCTTTGGTGCTCATATGGAGGAAAGATCACGTTAAAAAAGCGCGGCATAATTAGGCTGTGTTCTCATATGTGGGTTGGGAACTTATTGTCTCCGTACGAAAAACGGAGTGGTCCATTAGCACGTGATTAATTAAGTATTAGTTAATCTTCTATCTATCTATCTATTATATACTAAAAGTCCATTAAACTTCCTACAATCGCTCTCAAGTTGCCACGTGGCGCTCTAATAAATTAGAGAAATTCCTAGAAATTCTAATAAAAAAGCAAAACATCTAGCCCTTAATTTTCATTTAAATTGGTGGGTCCAATATTATACCCCGTTAGATAAAATTGATCATAAAACAAACAAAATACTATGGGTCCCACCTCTCATCTTTCCCCCGTGGTCACGTACGTACATGTGGGTATGTAGTACGTACGGCTCCCTCCATTTGTTTTCTTTTTTCTTCTTTTTTCCATTTATACAATTGATATATATATTAAATAATCATAATTTTACAAACAAAGAATATACCATCATATAACTCTTATAAACACAGGTAACTAAAATTTACACCATTATATGTTTACCCATTAAATTAATAATATAAGATAATTTTTACTTAAATCGGTGTACTCATTACTTTGTATTATTATTCTCAAATAATGCACTGTTTTAAAATAAAGTCTACACCATTATAGTGTGCACCCATTAAATTAACAATTTAAAATCTATATTAACTAATTTACATTTCCACTAGAACCGGTGGACCCATTATTTAAATCATCATCGGATCTATTGTTAATAAATAAAGTGTCCAAAGTTTTCGTTTTTTGGCTTGCTGCACAATGCACGTTTGCACCTTTGCCTTTCGCACTTTGTGACAAAGCATCGTGTCTGAGGCATCTAAGGTGATCACGACTGCTGCAGTGCTACCGCTTTGCCACGTATCAAATTGTATATGGAGATGATTAATTTTGTTAATAACATAAAAATAAAATTAAAGGTGTGATGCAATAAGAGAAGAATTAAGCACCGTGGGTTGAGTTTTTCTAGCACTTAGCTCTATTTAACCTGAAACCAAGAGTTGATTACATAATAATTATAATGTATTGTGTTATGTCGTATTTGGATTTTCAATTATTTGTTCTTACAGTTGAAAGAAATTATTATGTTATAAATATGAGCATAATATTAGTGAATATCAATAGAACTCTTACTAGGAAAAGAGTGTTATAAGGGAGTTTAAGGCCGTATTTTTTTTTCCGACTCCATCTTTTGGATTTTTGTTTGCACGCTCCACGCTTTCCAAGTTCCTAAATGGTGCTTTTTAAAACAACTTTTTAACTTTTTAGAAGTTAATTCATTAGTTTATAATCTCAAATAGCTATCACATAAATCAGATAATTCATTAATTTCAGTTGTTCTAAACCCTAAGTAGTACATATTTTTTTCATGCGAGTCTTGGTGATCAGTAAATTGGTGATCAACGCATAATCAAGATTGTAAGATAAATTTGTAAGAGCTACTATGAACAATTGTAAATAGGTGTCAAAATATGTACTACTTCTAATGGCTATCACATAAATCAGATAATTCATCAATGTCAGTTGTCCTAAACCCTAAGTAGTATTTTTTTTTTCATGCGAGTCTTGGTGATCAGTAAATTGGTGATCAACGCATAATCAAGAGCCTAAGATGAATCTGTAAGAGCTACTATGAACAATTGTAAATAGGTGTCAAAATATGTACTAGTATTAATTAGACTTCTAATGGCTTGCTAGCAATGTATATAAACATGGACGAAGCTGGAACGAATATTAACATATATCCCATACATATATATTACATGGTTAATATTCTAATCACATGTGGTAAGTCCATTAAAATTTCTTAAAATTCCCCTAAGCTACCACGTGTTGCTCTAATAAATTAGAGAAAATATTAGAAATTCTAAGGGAAAAAAAACAAAGTATGTATTACTTGATTTTTACTTAAATCGGTGGGTCCAATATTATAAACCATTAGATTAAATTGATCTTATAACAAACTAAATACTACGAGGTCCCACCTCTCCACCTTCGGTACGCACCTACGTACGTGGGTACCTACGCTTCTCCTCCACATTTTCATTTTTCCCTTTATTTTTTTCTCCATGTATATGCTTCCCTCCCTTTCTTATTATGTCATGCGTCTTCATGAGATGATTTAATCACAAAAATTTTGAGTATCTTGCTCCCGTATTTTTCATTTGTAACCATACTACAAGCAATAATTTATTATTTACTCGAGAAAGAAAACATGATTCAAAAGTCGTAAGTACTTAATCCATCTCCTACTCAAAAGTTTGTGAATGGATTTTCAAGATACCTTAAAAAATATAACCCTTAAATTATTACAAAAAATATTGCAAAATAAAAGTATCCAAACTTTAGTTTTCCCTTAATTTATGAGACAAAATTTTTAAACAAACAATAAAAATCTTACCTTTTAATATTATAAGTGCCCGCGCATGCGCGCGGGCCACCTTCCTAGTTTTTTTAAAAAATGGATTAATTTGATTTTTTAAACAACTTTTATATAGAATTTTTTTTATAAAAAATACACCGTTTAGCAGTTTAAAAAACATGCGCGCAGAAAATGTGGGAGAAGGATTGGGAAAAGGTGATGCCGAACACAGCCAAGAAGCCTAAAAGGGGGCCAAGCAGGGCACTTGTTTTGGGCTGTCAACTAGAATGGCACCCATGGTGGATAGATGGATTAATGGATATGTTTCAATATGCATGGTGGAAAAAGTTGGCTGAAACCAGTAGGGGTTTGGAAGGGTGATACTAGTACAGTATAACAAATGGTGTAGTAGGTAACATATGGCTGCAGAAATGTTTAACGTGCAAGAAAAAACTGCAAGGAGCTACTCCCACCATCTCAAAATATAGCAAGTACTGAATTATTTACATTCAAGTACTAGTACTACAAGTTATCATTAGATAATCGGTATAGTAGTTTCTTTTTAGCTTGGCGCAGTTCTTTCAACATGCGATTCTAGAACTATAGATCTGTTGCCCTGGACAAAAGGGGGCAACAAAGCAAAGGGCCTACTCCTTTGCTGCCTGTTCGTCCAGGAAATCATCAGCCGTGTCCCCCAACCACATGTGAGAACTGAGAAGAGTGATCCATCCCTGACTCACATGCATGGATGCCATGAAAGCAGAGCACTGTACAATATATTTACTCATCTAAAACACCATTTCCCCCCTGCTATCAGGTAAGTGTACTATGCAAGTTGAGTAGAGTGCGTGCAACTATGCAAGTGAGCGACAATTGGGAATGCAAAGGCAGAAGCAGTACTATTACTAGCCAGGACCTGAAATTGACGGCAATCGAGTTGGACCATTTCTTTTACCTGTTTTAGCTGCATGGATCCAATGTCGCCGTCTCCATCCTCGAATTCGACGAGAAGCGAGAGCCAGAAGGTCGTCGAGCCCTCGTTCACGTGGAAGGCAATGTTCTTCCCCCCGTACTTGCACGCCGTCCTGAAAAACGACGACAAACTCGTGAGCATGCAGCTATCGTTAGTAGTAAAACCGTAAAAACTGTTTCCTCGCACGATATGAATATGACAAGCGTGAACTCTGCAGCTACCAGCTACTCCATCTAGCATTGCGTTTTCCATGGTGTGCCCTGCCCGGCCGGCCTCTTTAATTTCTTCACGGTATCCAGACTAGCATGCAGTGAATCTGTGAATGGAGAGAAGGCATGGATGACCACACGTCCACACCGGGAGGTCGTGACGAGAGGAGTCTTGCATCGCATGGCGCCTCCAAGATCCAACACTCCAACAGTCCAACTACTGCGAGCGCAGACGCAGAGGCATATGTTCACCATGGACCATGGTCCTCTCTGTACTTCAGATCTGACAGTGTCTTCCTCCTCATTAATTTATGCCTCGACATTTTTAACCTTCGTGCCTACTCTAATTAATTAAGCATGCTGTACAATTGCCGGGCAGGGAAAAAATACAGCGGTAGTACCAGCTGCAGCCTGCAGGATACGTACTTTTTGGCAGAGTTCCAACTGGCTTTCTTTTCAGTTCCAAGTGGCTGCGTTCTCTCAGTAAACGTCAGGCATGCCAACAACAACATACGGACCACCACGACGTACGCCGTGCACGATCTGCCTCTGCCCCCCAGGCTATGCAATACTGTAGTATAATAAGCTGAGTAAATGTACTGTTAGGTGCTCACCTGCGGTACACCACCGAGATCTCGCCTCGGTTCTGCAGCTGGCCGCCGTGGCCGGCGACGGCGAGCCTGGCGAAGGCGGCGCCGCTGAGGTCGAAGTGCGTGCGGCCGAAGGCGCAGACGCCGCCGGGGCACTCGTCGGTGACGATGACCGTGACGGCGCGGCGCGAGCAGATGCTGGCGTCGAGGCAACGCACCTTGTAGCAGGCGCCGCACCCCTCGCCGCCCTTGAACAGCACGGGGCTCACCGCGCCCACCCGCGTCTTCATCGGCACCACGTCCACCAGCGTCCCGTATCCACACGCGCCGCCTGCAAAAAAAAAAAACGTACATACATACAGCCAAACAGGTTACAACTCTGAAATTAGAAATGCTCACGTGATTACCCGTCATCTAAAAATGAGATTCGTAATTTAAAATTGGTCTAATCTAAGTTACTACATTTTTGGACGATGGTTGTATAGAAGTTTACTGCCGACCAGGCCCATGGACAGTCAAGGAAGAAGACATGCATGCATGCTTGATGCTTGCATGGACACGCAATGAACAGTTCGTTAATTTGGGCCGTAGTGTGCCAGATACTAGAAAACGGGAAGGGAAAGCTTACACATGGAAACATCCATCGTGGCCTCATGGTGGGCACTGGGTGACTCAGATCTGGTAAAAATTTATACTGGCCAGTGGCCACGGGGCAACGCGATCATTTGTTGGGGTGGGGGGGGGGGGGGGGTAGCTAGCCGAGATGTGAATGGCTGTATATATAACGGACAGGAAGACATCAGGAACTTTGTGAATATGCGTTATTGCGTTAAGTGTGGTAACAGAGAACAAACCTAACGTAAGTTCAGCATTGTCAGGTCTCAGGTGTGTGCACTTTATGCAGTTCGCCCATGATAACAAACGGTGGAAATTTTGTCAGCAGTTAATTTCTCCGGCCGTATGCCCACTCACTTGTTTGCTTGTGTCCGGCGCAAAATATACCGGGAGTGTCGGTGGATTAAAGCGGCTGGGTTTTCCTCAGTTTCCCGTGTTGGTACGTTCCTAGCTACTCGTAAATGCGGCAAAGCTAAAGGACCCGACACAGGGGCACGCCCTAGCTAGGCTCCACGCTCGTGTGCCGGCCATTATAAATTTATAATCTTTCACAATCACAAACATGCACGAATCTTAAAGGCTCCGGACGCGCCCGTCCTAGCGTGACACTAGTGCGGGAATGCACGTAGGCCCGCCGAAATTCCGGGCCAACTACCGAGAGGAGAGGCACCAAAAATGTGCCAACGGCTAGAAGTACGCCATTTTCTTAGGAAGCTAGAAACACTGCAGCTATAGGATGCGAATCTGACGGTTAATACCAAGTGTGATCTGGAATAATCATCAAAGGAGAAAAGAACGAAAACCTGGCCTGATGCGTCAGTCGCAGCGCGCAATGCGTGCATTCTGCACAGGGGACCGAAGGCCGCCATTGTTGAAGACTTGAAGCTTAATTTTCGCGAACGTAAATTAATTAAGCTTATCTACTCTCTTGGAAGGTAAAGGAATCAGGTTAATGATGTCGTAGCAGCTGCAGGGTTTAATTAAGTGGTAGGAGCTAGAGCTCACCGTCGCTGCCGTCGCCGTCAGCGCTGCCGTACCAGGTGGCCGTGGCCGGGTGCCACTCCGGGTCGACCACCCTGTGCGCCGCACCAGCCTCGCCGGAGTCGAAGACGAACGCGGCGGACAGGAGAGACACGAAGAGCACGGAGCGTATCAACATGGGAGCAGACGAGCTCGAGGAGAAGGCTGCCATAGCGAAGAGCTAGCTGATCGAAGCAGCTATCCTGTCGCTACTGCCGTCTTGTTTGTGCAGGAGCAGCTCACTCTCACTCCTCTCACTCCCCCTGTGCGTGGGTCGCTTTTAAGCCTTCGAGAAGCCCCAGTCCCCGAAGCTCTGAGAGCTCAGGATGGACGCTAGCTCGCTGCACAAATGGCACGAACGGGACACAGGGGAATGGGGGATGCACGGGCCTGCAGAGTACACTAGGGTGGTGACTGGATTTATAATGTGTGGACAACGGTAGAAAAAAGTTGGTGGTGGCATGCAGTTTTTGTACACGCATATATGGAGGACTAGTGCTTAATCGATCAACATGGGTAACCCCAGCCGCCCGTTTTCTCGGTTGGTGCTATAATGGGGCGAGCTTGACTTTTGCCACATGATTGATGGGGGGGCTTGTTTATGGTCGTCCACGATAATTAACAGATTTGTTAAAAATATGTCGCCAGTTTTTTTATCAAAAAATAGTCGATTTTGTGACAGTACGATTTACATCGAGATTCGTGCTAGTGCAAAAGAAAATCATAAGGCGCCGTGACGGAGAATCAAACCCAGACCTTCAAAGTCGCAGACAGCTCCTAACCAACCGAGCACAGTATTGCTATTCACTTTATTGCCAAAAAAAATTAATAATGAATTTTAAAGTACTTATATACTAATTACCACTTACTTACATTCACTTACACGGCACTTACACTATAATTACATGTGTAATTTATTCACTTACACTGTACTTACATAGCACTTACACTATAATTACATATGTAATTTAGTGACTTATAATGTAAATACATGCTGACTATTTTTTGGTGAAAAATATGGTGCCATAAATATAGCTACTCCCATAATTAATCCCACTGTTGATATATGTTTCTTTTTTCTTATGAGTAACTTTGCACGCTCGATTATAACTGTGGTATATAGTAGACCTATTTGATATTGCAGTGGTAAGAGATTTGTGGTTTTAACTCTAAAGTCCTATATTTAATTCCCAACACGCTCATAATTTATTCTTAAAACATGTTTGGTGAGACGTCTCTTCCTCCAAATCTTACTTTTTATTTGGCTTTGTATTTTGTTAAATTACAATTTTTTTCTTCCTGTCTGAGCAACAAATATTGTTCGATTTGTCAAATTATATTTATTCACATTGTTGTCCTTGATAATTTGTATCATACGCCTTAACATCAGTCCTAACAAAATAGAGTTTGCATGTGTGAACTCCACAAAAATGCAAACCGGTTGCAGCTCCCAGTCACCTTGAACTCCAAATGAACACCCTTAAAAATTAAATAACCCACATATATATGGACCTCCCCGGCCGTAAACACGCCAGCGGGTTGATCTACTTCCTCGGTGATCTTCTTGTCTCAGCAAAGGTAATGATGATCAAGGACGGCACCAAAGCTGCGCGCCGTGAAGATGGTGGGGGCGCGGAAGAACACGGATGCCACGGTTTAATGTTGTACGTGCCGATCGAAGCCGGAAGGCCCGGAACGCCGGACACGGCCGCCAGAAGCCGCGCTGTATCATCCCCGGCCCCGGCCTCTCGCCATGTGCGCGCGCGCGGCACGCTCCGATCCGGCCGCGCCCACGAGAGTACACGTACGTACGACACCGTGTGCGTGTGTCCGTTGCGTGATGCGGATCGATCGAGCGGAGCGGCGGCGGCCGTATCGATCGATCTCGCTTCGCCGGATGGATTGACCGTTGCGGTTTTGCGGCACCGGCTTCGTAGGAGTACGTACGTACATGGGGAAGGAGGCCGGGAGGTAGTTGGGTGAAAGACCGAAAGTACATTTTGCGTCCGTTAATTATCGGTCTGTTGCTTCTTGCTTGTAAACCCAGTTGTAATTGGCTGGCTACTTGTTGGAGTCAGTCTCAGTCCGCACAGTTTATATTGCCACTACACTGTGATCTGACAGTCCATGTTTGGTTCCTTTCTCCAATTTTTCATCAGTGATTGATCTTCCGGCCGGGCTACTTTAATTTGTATATTGCCTGCATTTTTGTTGGCTTTAGAGGATAAGATTCGTGCGATCACCATGGGTCAATATGGTCGATCGATTTCCTCTGCAGAATTTCCTGTTATAGTATTCGTTTGGTGAGCCATGCATGCGTTAGGTGAGCTAAGTTAACACTGCTTTGATTTCGATTACGTTTGAGCGTCGCCAAACACAGGTTTATTGTCATGGGGCTGTTGTTACCTTGGGTGTGGCACAAACGGACAGGATCTCTCACTATTGTGATCTGTAATCTGAGTAATCTCAATGAAGCACCACGTGTTCAGTGGGACCAGGGCTATAAATTTTTCTTGGACCCGAGCGCGGTTCATTCAATCAGAACAAAAACGTTAAAAGTACTGTAGTACTACGCTAACCTACCTAAACTATTCACAGAATCACAGTTACACAGGTTACTGGTAACCTGCTGTCAGAGTTTCAAGAGTTAGTGAACCAGAAAGGTCCCAAGCCAGCACAGCGAAGGTCCATTCCTTCCATGGTCCACATCATTAAGAGCTCATCTCAGAGCTCCACGAATTGCCACCATTTCCTCTGCATGGATTATTAATCCATGGTTGCAGAGTTCAGAGGGAGGCGTAAATTTTGGGTGGCATTCCTGCTGGACTGGCTACTCCGCTATGCACACAGCTCCCTGCTTAAACAGTTAAACTCGCAAAGTGTGTTAATTAAGCTAAACACGAGCCTACCAACCGCTAATCCACTGTAGATTGCTTAGAGCAGACGCTGCCGAGTACGGAACCACGGGCCCAACTTACTGTACGTACTCGATATGCTCCACTACGTTCTTCTCCTTTCTCTCTTTCCGGGCTGTTAAGCTCGATCGAATCGACGATCGCCTGACTCCACGTGAAACCGAATAATGTACGTACGAGTAGTGCATACTAATACCATCTCAAAAAAGAAAGTGAAAAGAATAATGTACTACAAGTACAGTTACGGGCCGTTCGAGCAGATCGCGTTTATTTTCTCGTTTTCTCACCGCTTGTGAGAACGAGAGGCGCATGAGCCGGTGACAATGTGGAGGGATCTGGGTGGTTCTGCGCATTTGTTCTTCGTGCTTAACCGAAAGCGCGGCGGCGCCTCCGGTGTGAATCCTGGAGTAGCTTATTGTCGGGCCGTGCAGGCATCCCATGCGGGATGCGGCTAGAGGTCAAAGACGAGAGACAGGGGCTAGTTGGGGGTTCGTGCCTTTTGTAGGCGGGAAAGAGCGGCGGTGACGGACGGGAACAGCGGCTTTACGCGCGCGTTCCGTGTTATGAGGCGTGCCGGATGCGGTGTGGCAGGGAGGCCGGATCGAACGCAAAGCCGCAAATTGACTGGCCGGGCTTTCCTCTCAAAGGGTTTCTGTGCAGAAAGGGTTTCGCTTTCGTGGCTCATATCATATGCATACACTTTTGGATACAAAAGGGACTCTACAAAAGATGATTTATAGGATACGAAGAACTTGCGCACCACAATAAGAAAAAAATGGCCCACGGCCCAAGCCTGGTAACGAGCCTGTCACTAGGAATTTTTGGGCTAAAAGCTAGGGTAGATCCATTTACCCACTAAACCTTTCGTAAATTTATCCTAATGAATTTTTAAGGTTGCTCTAAAAATATAAATTGACCAAACGACTCAAACCATTAGAACATAGGTTTAAGGGGTTCGACCCAAAATGACTTTATATATATAAATGTTTCAATTTGTACTAAGTTGCTTCTCTATATAATAAATCATTCCTACAAAATTCAAAATTTAACAATTTTTTAGAGTGTGAAGGCGAGTTTAAAAATTTTGAGACCGAGTTTTACACACATGTAACTATAATTTTTGGATCTTAGTAATGCATCGTGGGCCACGCATGTCTAAATGGCTTAAAATTTGAACGAAGTTGCTTCTCCATATAATAAATCATCTCTACAAAATTTAATAAAATTTGATAAGTTTTTATAATGTGAATGTGAGTTTAAAAATTTCAGGCCTGAGTTTTCCATACATGTAATACGAGTTTTTTTGTCTACCAATAATATAGTTGAACCATTTGGATATCCATAGATAATCTATTGATATAACATATTCTTGATGGATTGACCCTATTAAATCATGGATCAATAAACTTACTTAAAACGGTTTAGGTTAGATCCATATCCTAACCATTCCCATCCTGAGTAAGTCTGGCAGTCTGCTGGGCCAAAGTTGCGGCCTCTAGACTGATTTCGATGTGTCAAACCTTGTTGGTAGCAGAACTGCAAGTTCTTGTTAGGTTTGGGCCTAAATGCTCTTTTACGGGCTGGACTCGAGAAAAGGAAGTCCGTGGCTCATGGGCCAAATTTATCTCATGTCTCGTGTAATTTACACTTGCACATGTGCAAAACTGCAAATGAACTGCTAATTCGTCAGTTCATCTGCGTATCACCATCACGGAGATGCTCCCGGAGCACCGCAAGTACATCTCCGAAGCTCACGACTCCGGTTAGCGCGCCGCTGACCTCGTCGACGACCCAGACGTACCCGACTCGGTGCGCAAGAGCCTGCGCCATGACTGCCACCAGCGAGCTCCCAGCATGGCATGCGGCGACGTCCTTCGTCGACCTCCACCTGAAGCTTCCCGACGACGACCTCCTTGCGCGCCGCGCACGCCCAAAAGGTGAGTCCTCGTCGGACGATGCCGACGAGGAAGACGATGGGGATAACGGCAGAGACGAGGCAGCGTCGTCCGCGGCGTCCATGAGGTCGGCCATGGCGTCCATGCCCCTGCCCTTGAGCTGCGCCCTGATGGAGCGAAGCAAGAACTCCGGCGGAGACAACGAGCAGTCTATGTACGTCATGACGTCGCCGGCGGAGAGCGCGGCGAAGGCCGCGGACGCCGACTCGATGTCGCACGAGCCGAGAACTCCGGGGCAGATCTCGCCGACCAGGGCGTCGTCATCGGCGACGACGGCCACGGCGGTGCCGTCCGCGATGGATCTCCGCAGGAGCGGGATGGCGTCGAGCGCGTCGTCGTCTGCGTGCACGGCGTGCACGTCCCGGCGGACGAGGCCGAGGGAGGCGACGGTGCGCGCCGCGACGGGGGCGAACAGGGAGATGGAGTAGCTGAAGAGGTGGCGGACGATGTCTTCCCGCGTCAGCACGCAGTAGTCAGTGGCGGCGGCGGGGTTGGCCGGGGAGCAGCCGGAGACGTGTACGTGGTGGTGCTTCCTGCTGCGGGCGGCGTGCGCGTGGAGCGGGACGAGCAGGGTCTGAGCGTCGTTGCTCAGCAGCGCGTCAATGGCGTCGAGCAGGCTGCAAAGTTGGACCAGATCACACACAGTTCAATTCGATTCCCGGTTTGCGTCGTGGCATTCCACGGCTGATGAATCAACAGCGGAATTAACAGCGGCGGCGCCGGCTGTCACGTGCGTACCTTGTGAGCGAGTCGACGCGGAGGGCGGCGCCGTGATGATCGCCACCACCAGCGTGCACGGCCGCCGCGAGCGCGGACACGGGCCGGCCGAGCGCGGCCGCGGGGTCGCTGAGGTTGTCCGCGTCGCCGCACACGTAGCAGAGCACGTCCGCGACGCTAACCTTGACGACGACGCACCCCGCGGCGATCTTCTTCCCGCGGGAGTGGCGGAGCGCCTCATCAGCGTCGACGACGAAGACGAAGGGGTCATCTCCGGTGCGGAGCGCGGCGAGGGCGGCCGCGACGGGAGTGGACGGCGGCAGCACGCGCGCCGGCGGCTTGCCGATGCAGAGATCGGACACGACGTGGGACAGAAGGCTCGCCGCCATGCACGCGTCGATCGGGAACTGTATACAGTATACGTAGTACACTACTGCCCCGGCCGGTCGAAATGGCGGTGCAAATGGGTGGAAGTGTCTATATTTCAGCGAACTAGTGAAGGGTATTTATAATCGTCGACGAGCAAAGCAGGTGCGCGGATGTAGTAGTATGCCGTGAGCTGTAGATTTTGCAGCGATGTTTGGAACGCTGTTGCATGTGTACTACTGTGGAGTAACAGTTTTCACAGCTACCCCACCCATCTGCATCTGTACAGAATGGGAGGTAGGACGCCTGATCTACGACCAGGAAGTTCCATGGAAAGTGATAGACTGATAGATAAGCGAGCCGAGCCGCGCTATTCGGCGGCATCTTGCGGCGCCGTGCATCATCTCCTCGTCGCGTAGCGATACGGCCCCAACCGCCGCAATGTGATCTGCCATCGTCCGTCTCGATAGGTACGGCGCGTCGACGCGACAACAGCTGTGTTTTTCTTTTTTTTAACTCGTATAATAGCTGTGTTTTTGGCACGGCAGGTCGACGTGTTCTTCTTCTAATTAAAACCACGGGGCTATATGACTAGATTATACTCATACTTTGCGTCTCCTGAACAGCTTGTTCACGGGCTGTGCCCCAGTGTCCGCGTTCTGAAAAGAATTGGATCTGTGAATCTGTATGAGAAATATTTTGATATTTTGAGATTTGGACGCTACTGCGTCGTACGGGGACAGGACGCATCTTTCTCTGAATTCGCCATCGCGTCCGCCGTGGCAGCTGATCAGGTAAATAGTCCAACCATGCATGTGTGCCTTTTCTTGCACAGCTGATCAGGTGACTGAGTCCAACCATGTGCGGCTTTTCTTGCATCCACCTGCTTGGCTGCTTGCTATAGCGAAAGACAAATTGAACAAGTATTGGTACTAGTAGTATGTTTGCCACAAGCCCACAACAGAGTGGTTGAAGGTTGAAACTCCAACGAATTATCTCAAAGACCATCGTGCTTGCCTAGTTGCCTTTGCTTTCACAGTTTGGCTAGTCAAATGTAACAAGTGCTAATACATGACTGAGATCTCTCCCTTCAGTCAACTGACAGGAGGGATGATACATCAATCTAATTTCCACGAGGGCATTGGATTTGCTCTCTGTTGGGGAAGCCCATGCAACTTTTGCATGGATCAGTTTTTGGCCCAACTGGATTTTGTTTCATTCACGATTATATTTGGGTGACCACCAAACTGCTAAATTGGATTGTGCCTAATCCAATCAGTAAAGTTGTAGGCCCAATCCAGCGTCCCATATAGAGCCTCAGAAAATCATAAGACTATGACCATAAATATTACTCTTATGAGTACTTTCCATAGTAGTGGAATTCCACTAGAATTATTACGTGTAGGAACAACCTAAACTCTACCACCAGTAGAAAATTCTACTAAAAATAGTTGAGATTACAGTATAAACAGATATAATCTATTGGATGAAAAAAAAAGGCATAGATTGAACTAGAAACCACCGTAAAAATGTCTAACTGGTTCTTATATGAAAAGGTTAATTTGATCCATGTCATTAGAAATATGCCGATCCGATTCAGGCACGTGCCGACAGAGAGAGGCGGATCCGCCGGCGGGGAGTCGGAAGATTTGAGCGGAGGCAGAGGACTTAAGTGGGACAACTGCGCGTCGAGGCTGAGTCACGCGGCGAGAAGGACGCCGGACTGGGGCGGAGGCTGGCGAGGTTGCTCCGCCGAAAGCGCTCCATGGCGGGCTCTATCTCCGGCGGCAGCGAGTACGACAAGTAATCGCTCGACAGCTTCATCAACTCGCTGGCGACGCTCAAGCTGTTCAGGAGTGAGCGATGTAGAAGAAGGGCGGTGCGGCGCAACCAGCTGTGTCTCCGGCGGTGGAGAAGATGGTCGCGCCGCCGCCACCGCGCACGCGTTCGTGGTGAGCGTCTTCGCTGGTGTGTTGGCAGTCAAGGCAGCGTACGTATAGCTGCAACAGGCGCAACACCCCTACGACGCCAAGGAGATACAATCAGCGGATGCAGCGATGGTCGCCGAGCTCACCAAGCTCTCCGACCACAACTGGAGGTTCGCCAAGGATCCCGTCGACACAGCCAAGAGCGTGGTGGTCGGGTCCGCGGTTCTCGCGGAGCACGCTGACGAGCAGCACAACTGTCGCCCAGGGAAGAAATAAGAGAGATAATTTTTAGATAATGGAATGAAACATCCTGGCCTTTACTCAAGAGCTACAACCAATTATTACAATGTTCACATAAAAGCAGACTCACACAGCGAGTATGTAGCCAAAGTAATAAAACCAAAAGTAGAAATAAACTAATAAAAACCAAACTAGGTAAAGACCCCGCAACTACTGAATTCTATTGGTGAATCTCCACTCGAAGTTGGCAAATAGCTGCATGATAGTCGACTCAAGTTTACATTACGCATCTTTTATTTGCTTATATAATCATCATGTCTTTGTTTGAGCTCATTCCCGGAGCCAATATGTTACCCTGAAAAGAACCTGCAAATAAGATTTTGAAGGTGGTCTATCAAAAACCATTTCATTTCTACTAAACTAGAGAGCCCAACATGCAGCGGAGGCTCCAACAAGAATAAGATCCTTGATCTTTTTATTAATACCTACAAGCCAATTCCCAAACGTATGAGATATACTATGTGAGGGTATAAACTAAACACGAAACTGACATGTGGATCCCATGTTTATGGGTATTTTGGTCCATATGATGACAAAAAAACGTGACAATGATAACATGGTTCTTATTTTGTGCGAATTCGAATGTTATAGATACGAATAGATGAGTTATAATGACATTTATCTAAATCGGTATATTTGCAATGGTATGGTTCCAATTCATCCTATATGAAAATGGAAGACAAAACATGCTTTTGGTACAGTTGTGTCGGACTAAATTGAATGCTTCCACATTATCTTATAAATGAGTTAGTCTTGAAAAAAATACTTATATTTTAAAACAGGGTAAATTTTTTATTATCGGATTAACAATAGGTAAGTATTTCTTTTGGCTTGTCGCTCACAACCAATGCTGGACCGGAGACAGGCTGCATTGCCATAACCTACCTCACTCCGAAAAGTGTGTCTTCTATGACACAAACAAGAGGAATCAATTGCTCATATCCTTTGGCGCCATTGCCTATAAATACTGCAACTATGGTGGATGGTCTTGAACGGCATCAACAAACCCTCTTGCTTCCCCTCTAATGCATCTTCTTTTATTCATTGGTTGGGAGAGAAAGCAGGAAACTAATTGACACGACACAACAAAATGACTACGACATGATTGACATCTTAGCTAGTTGCGTGGGCAATTTAGAAAAAGCGAAACAATCAGGTCTTCAATGTTATAAGCAAGATGCTGAGAGAAGTGGCAGAGGTTGCCTGATGGCGCGAGGCAGGTGCACCCATCTAGCCACCCCTTGGTCGAAGAGAGTTACACCAGATTTTAGGAGACATCACCTTTAGCACCTCTTGGCCCTTATCTCTACTCTATTTTTCTCTTTTTGATTGTACATGATCTTTTGAAATGACATAACCTCAATCTAATCGATTAACATCCTAGAAAAATGACTAGTCACCACTCACTACTAGACGAGGGTGTCGTTCTCGTGACAAGACCTGCATCGATGGTACGTGCTTGTTGGCATTTGAATCAATTTGATCCGAAAGGTGCTGAAATTGGTTTGTGGTGTGCAATTTTATATCTTAGTTATGCCTTATCTAGAAATATCTTGTAATATACCTCTTGCAAAAATAACATATGGCTTAAATCTAGCCAGTAACAACCGGTAAAATGTTTTCGAAACATTGGCAACATCTTGTGCTCTCGCTGTTTTAGTTGGAGAGTATTCTAGTCCCTGAGGGGATGTCTTCTCATATATCTTTTTTTTTTCTTTCTAAATTTGATACAAATACTTGTAATTTTTTTAAATAAACTGATAATGTATAGTATAGTGATATCTATCCAAAAATTCAACCTAGATGTTGAGAAGAAAAAAAAATAAATTCATATATAAACAATATGCTACTATTCATACATTCTGTTTTTTTCTTCATATGGGAGTGAAAGGGCCTGTAGCCTAATGGTTACAAGAGCCTCAGTGGCACCTGAGGTCCTGGGTTCGACTTCCCATGGGAGCGGATTTTCCAGGATTTAACGGCGTTGTGCTTTCAGTGGTAGGCGACGTACCCGTCGACAGCGAGGCAGGTGCACCCATCTAGCTACCCCTTGGTCGAAGAGAGTTACACCAGATTTTAGGAGACATCACCTTTAGCACCTCTTGGCCCTTATCTCTACTCTATTTTTCTCTTTTTGATTGTACATGATCTTTTGAAATGACATAACCTCAATCTAATCGATTAACATCCTAGAAAAATGACTAGTCACCACTCACTACTAGACGAGGGTGTCGTTCTCGTGACAAGACCTGCATCGATGGTACGTGCTTGTTGGCATTTGAATCAATTTGATCCGAAAGGTGCTGAAATTGGTTTGTGGTGTGCAATTTTATATCTTAGTTATGCCTTATCTAGAAATATCTTGTAATATACCTCTTGCGAAAATAACATATGGCTTAAATCTAGCCAGTAACAACCGGTAAAATGTTTTCGAAACATTGGCAACATCTTGTGCTCTCGCTGTTTTAGTTGGAGAGTATTCTAGTCCCTGAGGGGATGTCTTCTCATATATCTTTTTTTTTCTTTCTAAATTTGATACAAATACTTGTAATTTTTTTAAATAAACTGATAATGTATAGTATAGTAATATCTATCCAAAAATTCAACCTAGATGTTGAGAAGAAAAAAAATAAATTCATATATAAACAATACGCTACTATTCATACATTCTGTTTTTTTCTTCATATGGGAGTGAAAGGGCCTGTAGCCTAATGGTTACAAGAGCCTCAGTGGCACCTGAGGTCCTGGGTTCGACTCCCCTGGGAGCGGACTTTCCAGGATTTAACGGCGTTGTGCTTTCAGTGGTAGGCGACGTACCCGTCGACAGCGAGGCGCCTGTGGTGACTTCCTCAATCTCTCCAAAATTTGTCGGCCAGTCTTCGAAAATGCTCATAGGGGTAGGGTGAGTGCGCGTGCGTTGTGAGTGTCTGCGTTGTACTGTGTAATTCTAAAAAAAACGGTTTTAAATTTTATGTTTTATTTTCAAGGATGTTCGAAATACATATTTTATTTTTTTCCGATCATGAAAACATAAATATTAATCCTAAGAAAAAAAACTGAATATCAGTTTTGGATTAGCCAAGCAGACACTTATAGATTGGTAACGTAATCTTTAGGCTTTTTAGGAGTGTTACTGTCACGTCATCTAGAGGCAACAGCTTGGAATTTGACCTGACCCCTTAAGCTAAAACAAGTGGCCGTTGTGGCTCGTTGACAGGGAGGGGTCAAAGATCCATCGGGACGCATGGACTGATGAACTGTATTTTTGTACAGTACACCATCAATGAACCCTAATTAAACCTTAGTGAAGAGTTTGTTTGGCACTTTCCAAGCACCTCCCTGCTTCATTGCTTCACCTTGTTGCTTGCTGTAATAGAGCTCTCTTCTTGGGCCAACACCTCTGAAGATTTAATGCTCGCTTGGAAACCCTGTTCCTCTCACTTCAACAAATTCTTGGCCTTTCTTTTGGAGCTCCCGTTTGGCCTGAGAAAGAGAGGATTGCTCCAGGAATCCAGGTCACAGCTCCAGCTTGAAAGATGGCTCTGATGAAGAGATGCTTCTGTGGATCCCAAGAAGATATCAAAGGTAGTAACAATTTGACAATTTGTTTCTTTCATGCTAGCCATGTCAAGTTCCTAGCAGTTAGGACTTGGGAGTTTGTAGTATAAATTCTTTTCTAGTCATGCATCGCTGGCGATTTTTAGATGATTATCTAATTGTTTGCGGACGTTTTCGTGATGCATGAGTTCTGGAGAGCTTGTTTGAACTCATGCGGTTTGTCCAAAACTCCAAATGGTGACGTTGTTTCTTTGTATTGTTTTCTGAACAGAGCTTCTGAACTTGAAAAATGTCCAGCTATTCTCCTATAGAGAGATCAGAGCAGCAACAAACAACTTCGACGATGGCAACAAGATAGGCCGAGGTGGATTTGGAACTGTGTACAAGGTAGCCAAGATACTACTACGTATTTTACACTTGATATTTTGTTCGTTTTAACTGAAAAATCTGAACTGCTGCACGAAGAGTAGGAAGAAATGGAGTAAATCAGCAGCCGAAAAGCCAGGATGGAAACAGAAACTAATCTCTGTCCCATGACACAGGGAACTTTTGAAGATGGTACTGCATTTGCTGCAAAGGTTCTGTCTGCTGAATCTGAACAAGGGATCAACGAATTCCTGACCGAAATCGAGAGCATTACTGAAGCTAAGCACGCAAACCTTGTCAGGTTGCTGGGCTGCTGTGTTCAGAGGCAAAACAGGATCCTGATTTACGAGTACGTCGAGAACAACAGCCTTGACAATGCATTGCAGGGTAAGAGATCTCCATTAAATTTCCACAATTATGCTCTATCTAGAGCAACGACGTACTTACAAATCTCCTGCAACATTTAGGTTCAGCTGCTGGAGTAACTGACCTCAGCTGGAGCACAAGATCGGACATCTGTATGGGAGTGGCCAAGGGACTGAGCTATCTTCACGAAGAGCACGAGCCAAGCATTGTGCACAGAGACATCAAGGCTAGCAACGTTCTCCTTGACAGAAACTACATCCCAAAAATCGGAGACTTTGGAATTGCCAAGCTGTTCCCGGACAATGTTAGTCATGTTAGCACACGTGTGATTGGGACAACGTAAGCTGTTCTTTCAGGCTTCAGCAATGATCGAGCTGCATGCAACATAATCGAAATAAACCTTATTCTCTGCATGCAGTGGCTACATGGCACCTGAATACGTCGTGCACGGACAGCTGACGAAGAAGGCAGATGTCTACAGCTTCGGAGTGCTCATTCTTGAGATCATCAGTGGAAGGAGGATGTCGCAGACCATTCGATCAGGCATGTTTCTCGTGCGGCAGGTCAGGTCCTGAACCCTGATAATTTCTGCCACCATGTCTACGCTGCTGATGAAGAACAGCATCGATCATGTTTTGTTGTTGCAGGCGTGGATGCTGCACGAACAGGGCAGCCTGCTGGACATGGTGGATCCGAGCATGAAGGGAGGTTACCCGGAGGAGGAGGCGCTCAAGTTCATCAAGGTGGCGCTGGCCTGCACGCAGGCGAAGCCGTGCAGCCGGCCGACGATGCGGCAGGTGGTGAAGCTGCTGTCGCGGCCGGTGTGCTTGGAAGAGCTGGAGATGCTCTGCCCGGGCTTCGTCGGTGACGGCCACACCCACGACGCTGCGGCGGCGGACACCGTCGGTAGCCCAGGCGTGATGGTCGTCTCGCCGGCTCTCTCGCCGAAGGTGAGGTGGCCGACGGGGACCGCAACGACCACTACTACCGAACACTAGATGTGTGCTGGTTGAGAATATCACATAGGTTATAGGTGCTAGATTTTCCAAATGTCATCATATTAGCGGTATCACAAATCCAATGACAATGAATCACGACTAATCTAAAAAATTACACGCTTAACATTCATAAAAAACTAAGGGCTGGTTTGGTTTGAAGCCTAAATTAGAATTACCAATATTTAGCAATTTCAATAGTGTTTAGTGTCTATTTGGTTTGAGGCCAAATTTTGGTATGCCTAAGAAAATAGGCCATTTCAATAGTGAACTTAGACTATTTTGTCTTCAATTCAAACACAAATTTGTCTTACCAAAATTAGTCATGCCAAAACTTACCAAAATTTGGCATTGACAAAATTTGGTAAGGCATATTTAGGCCACAAACCAAACCAACCCTAAATCACAAATTAATACATGGCTCCAAGGTCTCGTCCCATCAGAGACCAAGGTCACCGCCGCCCATTGGAGGCCACCACCACCCATCGGAGGCCGAGGATGCTGTTGCCGCTCACCACCATCACTCAGATCTAGAAATACCATAGTTAAATCTAAGGGTGGTGGGAGAGACCCGGGAGGAGGGTTTTTTTAGGTGAGGATGGGGAAGAAGTACATGCGCTATGTGAACCGTTGTTGCCGTTACTTGTGGCGGCTGGATCTGGCGGCCCCCAAGCTCGCGGTGGCGGGATCTGGCCGTTCCACACCCGAGCACATGGGGAGGCAGGGCCAAGGGAAGGGCGACGTAATCTCAATTTTTTTTAGGTGGGAATGGGGAAGAGGTAGTTGTTAGCCATATGGACCACCGCCGCCGTTGCTCATGGGCCATGGCAGCCGGATTTGGCTACCCTCAAGCTCGTGGCACCCGAGCTCGTGGGGAGGCAGGACCGAGGGAAGGGCGCCGCCGTGAGACAACGCTACCCGCCAAGGGAAGGGCGTGCCGCCATGCCGGCGAGCGTTTCTTGAGTTCGAAGGAGGGGGAGAAGAACGAGAAGGTGATGGCGGAGGATGGATTGTGGCTCAGCTAGGAAAAAAGATAAGTGAGACAAAATGAGGAGATGGGCTGGGAAAAGATAAATAAGGGCGAATCCACGAATGGACTGAGGCAGCTTGGTTCGGCGGTCTGATGTGTTAGTTTTTTTCAAAAAAAGAATTGGCACCCCTAGATAACGTGGCACCCATAGTGCCTTATAACGTGGCAACCTAACTCGTTGTTTTTATGAAAATCGGTACATATAACGTGACAACCTTATATGTGCTGGCATTTATAGTCTCCGGTTTTTATTTTTAACCTTTCCTAAGATATCAGGTGGACGGGAAATGGCCTATATAGGGGCGTCCCCTATTAGGTGTTCTATAGCAGTGGGTGTGGGTGACTATTGCTACTGCCGTGCATTCTGCCTCAGTCACGTGCATTCTGCCTCAGTGGGTGACTATTGCTACTACCGCAAGGTTCTGAGGTAGAGCAGCACGTAGCTAATACGTGCTTGATTTGCAAGCTGCGTGCAATTTGTTGCTTCTCAAAACCTTGCGCGGTTCGCGGTGACTTGTAAGTAGTGTTTTTGATGGTGATAAAAAACATGTGATTCCGTGAGATGTATACTAAATTAACTTTATTTGGTTGTCACACGTGAATTGGACGGGCTCGAGCACAGTGTGATCGCGTAGCTAGCAACGACGAGTACTTGGTGGGGACGCATCGCCAAGAGGGGTGTTTTGCTCTTGCAATTAAGCTAAACCTTACTTTTACCAAAGTGTGGTATGTGCGGCCTATTATAATTGGGCCGGTAAGCGCCTATGGTTAACACGTGGTCTAATACATTTGGTTCGAAAAGGATAAATGCCATGATTGCTATTTGGCGCACATGCATTATCAGTGCACATTTTTTTCATATAAAAGTTATTTGATGAAAGTTTTTTGAAAGGAAGTTTTTCAGATGAAAGTTTAGATAGAAGTTTTCAGAAAAAGTGTGTGCTAGGAAGTAGGAACACTATCAAAATTTGTTAGGGTGGTATTAATGAACGTTTGTTTTTAGGACATGTTCACTTTGTTATCACTACTAAATTCTAGAAGCGTTAGATACTCTTTGCTAAAGTCTAACAAAATTTTGATATAGTTTTCAAGAGTGAATTTTTGAAATTACTATTCCATCCATCTCAAAACATAGCAACCTACAATTGTCCCAAAATATAGCAACTACAATTGTATTAGACATATCCTGGTGCTATAAATCTAGGCATAATTTCTAGATATATTATTAGTATTAATATTAGAATATATTATATCTATCCGATCCTACGTTAGGCCACATGCCTGTACACTGACCCGTACATGCAACTGCGAGGGTCATCTCTGATACCATTTATAACAGTCCACCCTCCAAAACTGCGCAGCCCAACCCAACCAACGGGCGAGCCCACTTACACATACCACCCCACTTACATTTTCATCATCACTTCACGTAAAAGGGTTAATTTGGGAGTGATATAGTTGAAAGGATAAGTCCTTATAAATTGGTTATACTCTTACTAAACATATGCACACGACTCTTATAGGCCACACAGGATTCATCCTAATTGGGCCAGGATATTATGATTTTGGTATAAGCAAACAGCCCGTATAGGCATACCTTGCCAGAGCTGAAGGGACAAGCCTCCACCAGAGCGGTAGCACAATGCTTAACAATGAAAAAAAAGAGAGAAAAATATACTACCTATCTTTTTAATATTCCCTTCATCTTAAAATACTTGTTGTTTTGAGTTTTGTTTTTTTAATGTTTAACCATTCGTTTTATTTGAAAGATTATAGAATTATTATTTATTTTGTTTGTGACTTATTTTATTATCAAAAGTATTTTAAGTATGACTTATCTTTTTTTATATTTGCACTAATTGCGTACTACATAATGTTGTTCATTTTTTATCACACATTTAACAATGTCTTATTAAAAAAATTACGTAATTATAATTTATTGTGTTGTGAGTTGTTTTATCATTTAAAGTCCTTTATGTATTATTCATATTTTATACATTTCCATAAAATTTTTAAATATATTTTCATAAAATTTTTGAATACACCAATGATCAATATGTGTTCAAAAGCTAATAGCCGTCATCGATTAAAAAAAACGGAGGAAGTAAAAGATAATGGGAAATTCAGGAGGTGGGAGTCATCTGGAAGAACTTCGTAGTCACGACCACAGCAGACGTGTACAGTTTTTCAGCAGGAGACAACATACGAGAGATTCGAGAGGCCACCCCGCGATGCGAGGTTACACCGGCAACACAATCAACAAACCGTAGATCTTTACAAATAATGACAAGAACATAATAAAGAATGACTACATAAAGAAACAAATAATAAACATCTAGCTACTGAACTTTTGTCAGTATTGACCTAAAAAAATAAACACGGGATTTAATGTAGGATTAATACCTACTTCCACCGCAACAAAATTAGCTACCTACTCCAAACCTAAGCTACAAACTTATCCTACAAACAAAATGTTAAAACGGTCGCAGCGCCTCTGCAGCCACGGATTGAAGTTCCCCCAAGCAGGACAGAAGCTGCACAAGCCCCCACGGAAGCGGTACGTCTGGGTATCCACAAGGATGGGCACACTTCAAGTCAAACATGTCAATTAACGTGAGATCAGACCCAAAGCAAGTATCAGCATGAAGACATGGCCACCACAATTGCTTGCAATTTCTTGGTGCATCCACAACCATCCATGTTTCCAGTAGAAGCCGCGCAAGATGACCGGGTGTCATGGTTTTTATTCTCTGCAAAGTTGATACGTCTCATCTAGCTAAAAAATCCAGAGTTTAGAACCAATGTATCCGTTAAAATGTCAAGGAACATGGCCTTCAATTCGGGAATATCTACCATAAGGAACCCTTTGCACTGCCCGTGGAAAATCTGGCTTGAAGCGCTTATCAAAACTGGGTGCCAGTGACCTGAGGAAATAATAAACATATATCTAAATTATACTAAAACAGAAGACACAAAGGATAGGCTAAACAAACAAAGGAAGAAACAAACTACAATCTGACAACAGGAGAATATCTGTGAGTATTGCAAAAGTCACACCCCTGCACATGTCACGCTAATTTTAAATTACAAGCTTAAGCCAGCCACCATAATTTTTTCCTCCACTTCCTCTAGGCATCCATATTAACCCGGGTTACCATCAAGGTCATGGATTGGCAGACAATATTATCAAACTCAATTTGTATTTTCCATTTACCTAGCAGAAATGGGGATTCAACTACAAATTGCATCAATCAAACGGTCCACACAAGATGCAAGATTTTGGCTGCTCACACAAGATCTTTCTTTTTACCAAATATTGTGGTTGTGGCATCTGCTAGGCTAAAATACACGCAGAATTTTGATTGGCTCATTGGGGGCATAAACCAAACATGTCGTGAATTGGGCACATGGATACAATGATAGAGCACCTATAAGGAAATTAACTGACACTACCATAAAACTTGTAATTAGCAATGCTGTAATATCTGGGCTGAAAAGGATATTCCATCATGTCCATGGAAAACAAAGCTAACCATATAGATAGCCAATAATTATCAAATTTATTGCATGCACAAAGCCAGTAACAATCACCTTGGAGAACTGGACCGTTTCTGAGCAAGTGGACCAAGCATGGATCTCAACATTCCAAGAGCTTCATCAGCAGCCTACAGAGTGATCAAACATACAAACATCAATTCAGATATACAACATGTTTATCCTTTATAAGTAGTCCCTTGCACGTAAAAACAAGAAAAAAAAATCCCACTTACAACCTTTATTCCCCACACCTCAGACACACAAAAAATATGTACTCCAAAGTCAGAACCACATTATTAATTGGCTCCATTTCCAAAAGCTAGAAATGGTTTAGTGGAACAAGAATTGAATGTGAAACATAACTCAAGTTATTACGTAAACTGAAAAGACGAACAAAACCCTCCTGACTTCCACATCGGTCAGTCAGTCAAAAGGCAAAATAGAAATATCTTTGAACACACTTCATGATCTTATTCTTCCATAAGTAGGAAACACTAAAGCAACAAAGGAAAACAGTTGCTTAAGTACGAGGGCTGCTTATAACCTGAAGCTTAGCATCTTCCCATGTTATTCCCACTCCGTTGCCTAGAATTTGCCCACAAACTTCTACCTGAAAGCCAAAGTTAGCGACACAATTATGATGCTGCAGGTCCCACAACAATACTGCTAATACATCGTTGTGCACCATACACATATACTGAGAAAAAGGCATGATCCTAGACATTCTCCCCAGCATTATAACAACTTGTTTAAGTAAAATAATGAGGAAATAGTTGCTAACTGACCTCAGCATAAGCTTCTTTGCCTACTGAACTATCAGGAGATGTCCGAGCTTGAAAAACTAAGTTATATCCCTCAGCTGTGCACTGCAACACATTTTCAACTATGTTATTAATTGAAAAAGAGCTGTGTCAAACAACCAACAATCTAAGATACTTACAAGTTCCTTGAGAGCAGCAATAGAACCTCCTGCTTTTCTGGAATTGTTCTCCCCCATCTTCACAAAGCGAGTTTCTTCTGAAGTACTTGCAATTGGTAACACATCGTCCCTACTATTTCCAGGGTATCCAAAAATGTTTGTATTGCTACCAAAACCATTTTCTTTCATATCAGTCATCTTATTTGGATCAGATGACAGATATTTATCTGCAAGTATTGTTGGCATGGCAAATCAATACAAAATATTGTATAAAACAAGAAGTTCCAAAAAGACGCAAAACAATAAAAGAGTTACAATGTTTTGCTTTTTTCAACCTATCAATTACAGAAATATAGCTTCATCCAGATGTTTTCATCCCAGAAACCAAAAGGAAAACTGACAACATGCAAGCAGGCAAATTTGAATGCCATGAAAATTCCAGCATTCTACACAGTAAGCTTCATGAATCTACTCGAACCTCCGTATATTGTCAACAGGCTCTGATTTATGATAACCTGATTAAGTATTCTTCAATGAAACATATGTAAACAGAATAATCCAGCACTATTAAGTGGCAATAGCTGAAATGCGCTATGTGCCCAAATTTTGAAAAAACACACCCTATGCCCCAAGTAAACATGTCAATCTTTTATTTAAAACGAATGTCTTGGTTGCGACAAGATTGATGGCACAAAACATTATGTTATATGTGCAGTAAGGAAACTAATAGGCTGTAGACTAAGCAGGAAAAACAAACTTACTAGCTAAATTTCTTAATGAGATTTCTGCAGCTTGACACTGTGCTTCTTTCCTTGTCCTGCCAATGCCTTCGCCTACTTTTTCTCCAACAATCCAAACCTGAAAGAGGTAATAGACATAAGAAAGGGATATAAATAAGGTAAGCTTACAATTTTCAACAAGTCCAGGAGAGGAGCTCTGATTTTTTGGAACTAAATTTACTGCAGAGATACCAATAATAAACATTGAATAGAAGTTCCAATCTACCTCGATTGAGAACTGTAAATCCGCAGTATCACATAGTGCTGACCTGTACTCCACCTAAAAACAATGAAAAGTGTCAATGATTATAAACTGGATTGTATGGTGCGACCTGAATGTTCAAAACTACCTTAGAACCACACTTCATAGCAATCTCCTCTAGTATGCCAGCAGAGCTCCCTGCATGCCGAGCAAAGTGTTGTCCTGGTACTATCTGGTTGTTTCTCTGACTTGAAGAAACATGCCGAGTTGCTAGCTCCTCTCCTTCAGGATGGAGATACAGTTAAGCATAGTAAAGTTTTTATGCTATACTCAACTTTGCAAAGAACAAAAGCTTTTTAACGTTCTTACGGAATTCGATTGCAATTTCCACTATGGAAATTAAGTTACACTTTACATAACAATTATCTAGGCAAAATATTTGAGAACTCGTTTAAGTGAGAAAGTGTACAAGCCATAATGAATTAATGAGTGCACCTATACTTGAGTTTGTAAAATCATAGTCAACAGCATATATAATCTAAAACAAACAAAGTTAACTTACTACATCACAGGCAGTAAAGCACAACAAACTCATATGGTCATACAGATAGTATAGCAAGCCAGAATGCCAAGTGCTAGAAACAAAATTACAGCCCTAAACCTTAACTTCATTGTCTTTTAATGTTTTGAAGAGTTCTCATTTTTGTCTGTTGGTGGCTGAACCTAAGAAACTCCTTTTCGCAAAAAATAGGACCTTGTTTATCAACAAATGCACGACGTCTCTGCCTAATTCTCAGGACCACCCTAAAAGATCAACATCAGAATTCCAAATGGAAATAGTAAGAATACCAGGGAAGGATCTGTATCTTGACGGTGCATGGTTCTGAAGAACGCGATGATCTTCACTATGCGGTAGCTGAGTCAAGAAAATGTTTGTTACAGAGTGGTATAGAAATGTCTTGATAGCAATTGCAGAGACTACAAAAGTTGAATCGCCTACCTGGGAGGGATACCTCTGGTTCTGATAACTAAATCTATCAGAGGATATAGGGTTTTCCCCACCATGAAAGAATGGGTGAGGTAGTTGCTTTTTATCATAGTGCATAGTTTCAGATTCCAAAGGGAACCCTGCAGAACCCCTGTTTAGATTATTTGGATTCATGCCATCCTCTACAGGAAACCAATTTCCATGAGGTTGAACTGGAGGAACTGGGACTTGAACAGGAGGTACTGCTGGAAGAGGAGGTGTAGGATCTCTGGTGTCTTGACCATGTTGTAATATAAGAAGTCTTCTCCTTGTGTCAGGATCTAACTCTGACTCAGGAACTTCACCCTCTTCCCTAGCTGGAGAGCCTTGCAGTGGATCTGAGAGACTCAGTTGAGCAACTGGTTGAGTGAATGGAGGTGGACCCTGATTATTACTCAAAGGCACCATGCCAAGGGATGGGGCTACTGGTGCTACTGAAGATGAAACGAAATTTTGACCAGGGAGTACTGGCATCACAAAGTTAGCTGCTGTTGTAGTAAAAGCTTGAGCATTTCCAGATGCTTCCTGAAAAATAGTTGAAGGGCAATATGTGAGGGAGAAATGATGCAAGTGCAATATGTGAGAGAAATGACGCAAAATTTCAAAACAGATGTATATGTAAAGAAGCATATGAAGCTATCGGCAAATAATTTCCTTTCGAATATTCTGCTCAGAATGTTTCATTAAATGTTACATAGCTCATGACAAGCGTATCTCATGCTGAAATTATAATTTTGTTGATGCCACATTAACAAAATAACTTATCATTTTACTGTTTTAAAGACAATATTAGAAATATAGACATTAATAGTTGTTGCAATCTCTATTACCGTCATATATTGAATACAGCTTTAAAGGAAGATGTGTGGAGCTATTATACAGGAAGATCGGAAGATGTAACAAACTGAAAGAACAGATCCAGCACAATCTATATGTTATATCATTGGTACTTGACTAGGTAAATGTTTCAACAATTGTTACTTAAAATAATGCAACATGCTTCAGGAGTTCAACATCTAAACCAATGTTAAAAAAAACAGCTTTCTATGAATTATTCTTGGATGTCTCTTCTTTTTGTGATTTTGTCAGCCCACAATCAAACATCCAGATAAAGGCGCAAAGAGCTCAAACCTTCATTCTCCTTTCAACCTCAGCATCAGCCATACCATCAAAAGCCAATGGATCCCTGTTTCCATTCACTGCCGCAACATTCTCATCCTAATGAAGATCAGAAGAACAGTTAATTACTGAGAGGTGAACATGGTAGCATTGCATTTACCAATTTTTTTACCTCTGAAATCAAATAATTGCCAACATCTGGAGCAGATGGGATTTCATTGATTTCATCCTCATAAAAAACATTGCTAATTCTTGGTAAGAGGCCTTCATCAAAGTCCCTGCAAATTGAATCATGAAAGTTCTATGTCAATCAGTCCGACTTAGTTTGATAGTAGAGTACCATGAGCCCATGATATATAATATGGAAAGCGCATTAGCAGAGCCGATAATCTTACTTAAAGAAGCCCCCTCTAACATTGCATGCAACATTCCTGGCGACACAGAGAACTGGGATAGAACAGTTTGCCTGTAAAGTTGAAGGAGATTCTTTAGTGTCCAAGCAAGAAGATACTATTTGCATTGGTATGGAGCATGACCGTTACCTCTGCTTGTGGTGCATAATATGGAGTGAATGCAGGAACCACATGAACTCTAGATTGATCCTTCTCATCCCAGACTTTGAGTCGGTCATCAATTACTAGGGCCATTCCAGGATGGCAGGATCCATCATGGAAAACATTCAGCAAGGACTTTCTTAAACCTAGAAAAAAAAAGTCGCTGTTAGCTTCAGTAGGATGGATCAAACAATATGCATAAAGGGTGATGGAAGCATTGAAGCTGCAATCATGACCAGAGCTCTAATTGTGGAACATTTGAAAACAACATTGTACTAAGTTCATGACATACTTAATCAGAAAAGAGACACATACCAGATTTTACACACACCATTCTGTCATTAAGTTGAACAGAGTTAATCAATCTTGAGTCTGGATCAAGCAACCTCCACATTTCTAAGGCGTAGTCTCTCTCAGCCATTGTACACACATAGACCTCAAAACGTTTGCGACCTCTAGCAATCAAGTAGCTCCGGAGATCCTCCCATGCTGGCCTTAAACGTACAAGAACACTGGTATCCCTTATCTACACAAAAAAAAAAAAAAAAAGCCTTAGCCTGGAAGTTTTGTACAAACTTATGCAACCAAAGTCAGGCCACATCAAAGCAATGTGAAAAGGCACGCTGAACTGTCATTGCTATTGCTCAACTTACAAACTTCTATTTTCCCAATAGAGAATGCATGTAAATTCTAGAGAACCTTTCTTGATAATGAGAGAGAGAGATCAAGGAACAAGTCAACTGCATACTAGACAGCACAAATATAAGACTCCTAGGAGGTATGATGTGCAAGGAAAATTCAAAAAGACATCCAGCATAAACTGGAATCACAATGTATCTATCTGCTGACCAATATATGCTCGTGAAAACAGTTGTAATGCAAATTCAACTAATGAATCACATACCAAAGGATTTATTCTCGTCAAGATAATATTCTTCTCTTGTAATCGTATAACTGGACGTGTCATTGGTTGATGGTTATCGGATAATGGCGGAACCAACTCAGGTTGCACTTTATACATTTTTCCATCATCATAGACCTGATCACCTTCAATGTACTGCTTTAGGATAGACTTATCATCTTGGTACCTCTTAATCTCCGCTATCATACCGTTTATGCGCTGTGGATCAGTCTCATTGCTCAACTTTCTCTGAAGCGCGTCAATTCTGTCCTCAAAAGACCGTGTAGTATTGGCGACAATCAGTGTCTCATCAAGGTCAAATACGATCCCAAGGCACCGGAGATTTAACATAGTCAAGCAAGAATTGTACAAACCAAATGGCACTTTATATCCCCAGAAACATGCGTGATTTGTCAGGTTTCTCCTGGATGTCATTGCCACTAAATGCAATTCTTCCTCTCCTAGTGGAACAACTGCAGTCTGCAAGAATGAATTAAAAGCTGCAATATGAATATTTTTTTCGATAAGAAGACAAAGATGGAAGTTTTATAACAAACCCATGAAGTTCTGTAGACTAATATACCTTGTACGTTTTAACAGGGAAAAGGGGGGTATAAGAAACTACAAAAAGGTTAGAATTGTGGTTCTAAAGTATGGAATCTGACTCTGCTGTAAACCACACTCCTGAATTTTAAAACAGAAAAAGAAATGAAGTTGGAAATGTTCATGCCAAAGTAACATCAGTTGAACTGAAAATACTAAAAGTAGCTCTCATTAAATACAAAATTATTTGGAACCACAAAACCCAATAAATGTCAAGAAAACCATTAGCACAGCTGCTCTTCACGTATATTCTTGTGAAATCAAGATTCAAACAGCACTTGAGAGGGATAAATAAAATATCTAGAAAACCATTAGCTCAGCTGCTCTTCAAGTATATTCTTGTGAAAATCAAGATTCAAATAGCACTTGAGAGTGCACCAGTTAAACCTTATATGTTCCTTCAAGTTGTTGTCACAAATTATGATCTAAATTCCAGTTCAGTTAGAATAAAACTAACAGTAGCAATTAACGATGGGCATTATGCTCAATATCATTTTAAGTCCACAAATATCAAACAGAAACCACCTCTCACAACCATCAGCTTTTTAGTCCCAGCAACTAAACACCAAAATCTACAGCATTCAGTGCCTGGTTTCTGCATTTTTTAATCTCTACTCCTCTCAAATAATCCCAGTAAAGCCAAGTTCAAACTCTATTAATGAGATGACAATGAATTAAAAGCAAGTCCAAGTCCACAGAACATAACGTATATAAAGTGATTCCTTGTGTAAGTTTTAAGTCCGTATCAGCACTGAACAAATTTCAGTGCATTCAGTCATCCGTCCACATCCTTGAAAATTCCTTGTCCACACCCGAGTGATTGTTTAGATAAAATTAACATGCTTATTAATACAATAAATATTATTAAGATTATGTCCTGGTAAACTTGTCCAAGTAAGATTACAAATATTCCTTCAACCCGATCATGTAAAATTAGTGTGATTCCTTGAAAAATGTCCATGTAAAATTAGAGAGATTCCATTATTTGTTGAATTTGTCCCCTTTTTTTCACTGCGTGAATCTCCTTTTTTTTATGTCAGGAATAATTTATATACCTTGTTTTCCTTGAGGCAAGCAGCGTGCATGGCGACGAGAGGCTGGGGTGGCTCATCCGCTGCCTTGGGCAGCCTGGACTCCATGACGAGGCAGCGAGCACCGACGGCCACGGTATGCATCACGGCGAGCGGCTGGCACCGCTCGCTGGGCGGGGAAAGGCGGTCAACGCGGATCTCTCGAGCCCACGCTGCCGCTGCCAGGCTCGCGTCGCCGCTGGGCCACACCTCCACCTCGCCGATGGAGGTGTTCCCGAAATATACCATCGACCTGATCATTCTCTCGAGACCAGCAGCAAACAGATCTCAAACGAATCCTCAGGTCAAAGTTCGTTCGGATCGTGTCCACAGGCAACAAAAGGGTCTTGGTTCTCACACAGATAGATAAGATCCGCGAACTCGCTCGCAGATCTGTTCTTATGAAGCGTCCGAAACGAGAATAAAAAAAAATCTAGAAACAATCAGGGTGTGGAGAAACAAAAAAAAATCAGATGTAGTGTGTGGTCTTAGTGACGACGGTGTGCTTCAGATTTGTGTTCGAATTCTTCGCCGTTCCAGGCAAGATTCGGGGTTGCGTCAGGTGAGAGGGTTCGCGGTGTGGATTGGTCAGATCTGAGGGGGAGCTCGTGCGCCGCGCCGCGTCAATGGCGGACGCGAGCGGGAGGAAGAGGACGACAGAGAGAGGGGGGGGAGGGGAGGGGAGAGGTGGGGAGAAAGCTCTGAAACCCTAAACTAGGCGTCTGATCGGATCGGATTGGGGGAAGAGAGGAGGGGGGCGGATTTATTTTGGTGTCCATCAATTTTGGTAGGTGGTGGGGCGAGGGCGAGATGGACGCGGCTACGGCCTACGGTTATCCCACCACGTTAATTCGCGGGTATTTCTTTCTGCTTTATATATATATATATATATATATATATATATATATATATATATATATAGGACACTCATATGGGGCACCATGGTGCCCGGGCACCATGGTTTCAAATGCACAAAATCACTCAAATTTTTCAAAATTTTCAAATTGTGAGTATATACCTAGTTATAAGAATTCGATTCATACCTATACCTATCAACAAAACAACTCAAATTTAACTTTATTTCACAATCCATGATTACATACCTAACTAATTATATGTATGGATGCTATATACCTAGAATCAAAATCTAACAAAAACAAGTTCAAATTCAGTTCAAACTTGCTTTCAACTAGTTAGTAAAGTAGTTAATATTAATACATAAATAATTAAAAAAGTTTCATGCTCATTTGAATTGGGTATATACTCAATTTCAACAATGGTGCCCGGGCACCATGGAGCACCAAACAAATTTACTATATATATATATATATATATATATATATATATATATATATATATATATATACTTTTTTTCCTATTCCGTCTCTGGATGGGATGATGGGCCACGGTCGGCGGAGGAGTGCGAGACTGGCACGTCTCGTGTGTGTGATAGTGGCTGTCGAGCTCTCTCGGTATTGTTCGGCATTAGGTTGGGTGGTTGGCCACCTGGCCCCGTCCGACACCGTCCCCATCGGAAGTTTGATCATCAAATTGATATCCCATCATTGTTTGGCTAAAACATCAATGAAAAAATAAAAGGAATAAAAGGAAAGACGAGTGCAGATCAGAGAGATAATACTAATGCTAAAGTGTAATGTTTTCTTTTTCTGTTTTTCTAATCCTACTTGTAACCTGTCTGCATCATCCTATTTGATATAAAGCGTTTTGGGTTGTATGGAACTTCATAACGAATATTGTCAGAAATGTTGTAATTGGACAAACGATACAATAGGTTGGGTTAGAACAAAGCCCAAAATGACGTGCACAATTTCAGTTGTCCTATTAATGTGATTTTCAAACTGTTTTATTAAAAACTTTCTATATAAAAGTTGTTTTAAAAATATTAAATAAATTTACTTTAAAGTGTATAAAAATTAAAATTCAATTAATCATACGTTAAATGTTTGTCTTGTTTTGTGTGCCTACACTTAATCTTATCTTAAGTTCTCTCAAAACACAGGCGATTCTAGTTGAAATTTCACGGATGCCTCCCAGAGTCTGTGTTTCACGGATGACTCACTCCCACGGTTACCGACATGTGCTTACACCTGCTAATTAACCTTGTGTATTTGTTAGAGGACTACTTTCCTCCAACCTTAATCGATTAAGCTCGTAGTACTAGCTTGTTCCTAATCCAATATTGAGTTGTCATATTTTGAGATATATATTTTTATTATAATATTAGACTAGCAAAAATATATGTGCGTTGCAACAGGTAAAGATAATTTTCACAATTAATAAATTGATAAATACTCTGTCAATTTAAACGACAAATTCGAATTGGATACGGACAAAATATAACACAGATGACGCACCAAAATTTCTGTGAAAATGTCTTCAATTTTTATAATAGTAGGAATAGAAATTGTTATATTTTAAGACATAAGTATAATATATATGAACAAGTGTACCATGTATACTTCCATGAGGTTTGGGAAGTCCATGTCTATCCGTATATAAATCTCACGACTACAAGAAAACAGAAAATGACCAAGAGAAGCGTTCCAGGTAGGCCTAAAATTATGCTGTTTTTATAAGCTATCTTCGCATGCATCCAATTTCCAATAGCATATGATAGAAGCTTAAACAGTTAAGTATCGCAAGCTCAGAACTCCATGACACCACAAATTCAATGTAAAGAATTTCACCACACGCCCACTGCCCACAATACGTAATTTTCTTTTGCATCTCTTTTCTGTAGCACTGATTTTTTTCCCCTTACAAGAATACATAGTAGGGAGTATTAAAAAAAAGTGGAGCAAAGGTTGAAGATGAGGGCGAAAGATGTCACTCCAACCAGCGGACAGCATTACTCTTTCTAGGGATTCACTTTCATGTACAATTTGAGGTAATATCTAAAATGAATGTCATACCACAAGTACCTGAGTACTGACCATGTGTTAGTCGAAGATTCCAAATTCTGAAGCAGGCGCACCAAGGAGCAACCAAATCCAATCCCCCAACCCAATGCTGTGCATCTCATTGAATATATATTTCCGTGTATTCTATACACAAAACTACACTCCTGCAGGATGACTCAGCATCCAGGTCCATATGCTATACTCTAACGGGAAAGCCGAAGTTCTGAAATGTTCTGATATGACCCTCATGGCCTGCTGTGACAATCACCAAGCCCCAGGCCGAATGACTCGGAGCTTGATCTCCCTCCATAGGATGGCTGGCACTAGACCGCGGGCTCTGTTTTGTTGGTGTCATGAGTTCTTCAGACCAAGTCGCAGATGTATCACCATTATGATTTGGGTTGGTGTTTCTGATGATGTTGCTCTGGTGCTGAGCATCAGGCATCTCCTGATCTTTATCAAGCTCAGATCCAGACAGGCCATTCTCAGGCCATTCTCTAGATGTCATTGTGCTGCTGGCACAAGGCCAAGAAACAGCAACTGTCACACCCTCGCAGTGGAAGTGTTCATGGGTATTTGTGATAGAAACAATGCCCTTCTTTGTGTTTGGTTCGGAATCATCATTACATCTCCACATATATACATGGGAATCCTCACTTGCAGAGATAAGATATCTCCCTTTCACAGCTGAACAAGCAGAAATTTGGCTGTTGGTGTTACGAAAGCCTGAAACAAGATGAGTTACAAACATGGAAATGAAAACAACCACCAGCTGAATACGAGACGATTTAATAACAAATAGTGTGGCCAGGATTAATAAGATCAACACTAATTACCTTTAAATTTGCAAACTAGTTCAAAACTGTCAATAACTCGAATTCGTGAATCTGCAGATGTGATGATGACCTTTGAAGAACTCCCTGGAACAAACTATTTGAAGAACGACTAATAAGTAATGGTACAAAACAAGTAAAATGAAAAACCAATTCTGGTGCGATTTGATTCATACTCAGATTGATCTACAAGTAGTATCATATTTAAAATGCTACTTCAGAGTAAGCACCTGAATTCCTGTGATTTTCTTCTGGCTAGATTTCCTTTTCTTAATATGTAGATCAATCTGTTTCTTGTGCTTAAGCATATTATCTAGGCAAAAGACAAAAATAAAATAAGTTTGCAAGGTATAGGAGGCAATTTATATAATATGACAATGGCAGTAGATGGAAGCTTAACATAGCATATACTCCCTCCGTTTCCAAAATATAAGCATTTCTAGGTTGTTTAGTACATAATAAGGTTAAGGACAAGAGACTTTAGTGCCTCCCAGTAAATGAGGGATGCTTGGGGGGTAAGAAATAAGATGGGAAAAAATTGAATTGAAGGTGATTAATGGGACAAGTAATACTAAAAAGTGCTAGAAATGCTTAAATATTGGTACGAATTTCAAATGCTAGATGTGTTTATATTTTTGGAAAGGAGGGAGTACCAACTATCAGTACCAGGTCTTGGAATAAATAAGTTAAAGATGTGGGAGATTACATGTGCAGCAATTAAGTAATGAGAGAGGAGGGTTACCAGAAATATCGTAGACATGGCACTTGCCCTTGTGGGAGCCAACGAGTGCACCCTTCACAAAGAGTAAAAAACAAGGTGTTTGAATGAACATGAAAAAAAGCAAGCAAACCCCTGCTGAAAAATTGTAGAACAAGAAGCAAGTTAAACCTGTCCATCAGGGGTATAACAGGCAGCTGTGATCATTTCATGCAGATCAATCCAGTCAACAATTTTGCGTTCTTGTATACTCCAAATTCGAACCTTTTTATCCAGGGAACCACTAATGAAGTATTTATCATTAACAGGATTGAACTGGATGCAAGTCACTGAATCAAGAAATTGATATGAGAGAAGGACAATACATGGGGTGAGGAAGAGATATTGATCTATTGAAAGCGATGCTCTTACCATAGTCACTGTGGGAGAAGGTTTTCAAACAGTAAGTGCTTGACACGTGCCACAACCGTACAGTTTTATCCATTGAAGATGAAAGCAAGTACTGCACAGAAATTGAAAAGTGGAGATAAGGGGTGCTGGGGTAACTGTTAAATACAACAAAATCATAATAAAATGAATGAATTATGCTAATATATTCCTACACCCTTAAAGCTTTCATGAACGTCTGATGAGGTCCCTGAGCTACAAATTTAGCTTTGGGTTGTGAAAAACTGCACTTTGAAGACAAATGAGTCCATCGTAACATTTGTAGGTGGAATATGCTAGTGTTAAAATTTGGTACAAATCATCTCCTTAACCTATTTCCACTAATAAATAGTTGGACAGGCCTACATAATCAGAAATACAAATTGAACAGACTGCCAAACTAGCACGGAGTTTTGCTGCCAAAGAGACTCCTAAAGTTTAGTGACGGAGCCTGATAAGCAATAACATAAGTTTAGATTTCTAAACCTTGGAGAGTTGATTGGCCTTGCATGTGGACTGAGTTCAAGTTTTATACTATAAGTAGATTGTCCACCTTTTAACAGTTTAAGGCCTTAAGTTTTTCAGTAAGATGGTTAATTCTTAATTAGCTACATCCACCTTAATGCTGTTTCCAAGAGAGACCTCTTCTATCCTACTTTATATTTCTTGTGCAGAATTGGAGGCAGACAAGTTTATACAAGGTACATGAAGAGATGCCCATTTGTACTCGCTTTAAGTTTGTAGTACTAGATGAACTTTATCTCCATTAAACCCACCAGCAATAATTTCATACCCAACAGCAACCTGTTAAATGTCCACCTAATTAGGGGACCAGTATAAGAGCATGTCACAAGTCATGTACTGGTAGCTTAAAACAGCATACAGAAGCCTTATGAACGTCATACAATATCTTGAAGGAATGTTACTGCGTTAATACTATATGCGCCCACTTGTCTAATGCAAAAGGTAAAACAACACATTGAAATTGACTTCTAGCTTGGTAGATTGGCATCAATAATCTGGCAGGCGACAAACTTCAATTAACTCTTTATGTTGCTTAACAAAATTTGCTGAAGTTATACACTGTAATCATGCATCTAGCATTTGGGGGCTGGACATATTTCTTTTCAAAGAACCGTGCATAAATATTCTTGTGCACTATTTTTTTCACCTTTTGAAACTCCACTAAAAACATAATGAATATTAAATCACACCTTTGAACAATAAAGACTGACCTCATGTCATGTCAACACATAAAATAGTTAGCTACTTAGCTCATGACATTCAATCACTTCTGGGTGATACTAATTAGTGATGGAATAAATATCTTCTGTTGATTGGAGTACACTGTAGACTACAGAATCTATTGAAAAACTTAATATCTCCTTTGACCTGATGATCAAAAAACTTGAATCTATTTATCAATGGAAAAGTTTTTAATACTGCAGTGAAAGAGAGACCTAAATCAACAGATTAGTAGTTATATGGAACTGAATGAACTGACATTCAAAATGTTTTATCCTTTGACCAACAGGTGCTGGATTTTCTAGATGTTCTCAACATGAAAAACTTAAGTCACCATGAAGCAGCAAAAAAGTTGCATGCTTTATAAAACATGACTTAGAGGTTGGAAAGGGTACAATTGCACTGATGTATTATAAACAACCATCTAACAGAATTATTTGCGAATAACAGAACATTGCGAGCAATCAATTTGTGTAATTCCAATTTGTTCAAATCTCCAACATCCTTTTTTTCCCTTTTCAGTAGCATTGCAGTATACCAGAGATCTAGATGACTTCTCAAGGTTAGATGAGACATTGGTACTGCTAATTTGGCAATAGCTTCATAAGTTTTTAACTTTAAAGAGTTAAGACCTAATTATTGTGACTATTATCCTGATGTCTGATGGCACACATACTACAATCCAGCAGAGTATGTATCACAGGAGTATACCAAAAAAAACAAATATTTGCATATTCGAATTGACAAGCATATAGCAGCATTTTGAGTGTTACCTGAGATTTGGACCAGCTAAGGTCAAGCACATCCTCAGAATGCCCTGCAAAGGTTATCACGGGTTTCTCTGATAGTGCAAACACATGTTCTGGCACCATCAACCGGTCTGAGCTTACTGATCTCTGATTGTGTACTGCCTTTGCCCGCAGCTTCTTCTCCCGATGGCTTCCCTCTGAAGCCGTGGATACCAACATCGACTCTGGATCAAAGACCCCATTTTCTTCCAACCCCTTCTCCTCTATCATCTTCCACTCCAACACCTCCCAGACATGGATGACACAATCCTCACCAGCACTTGCGAGAAAGTGCCCATCAGGACTAAACTTGATGCTCCAAATGGACCCACTGTGCGCCTTTATATCCTGGTTCATGAACAAGCCACTGAGCTCCTTATAGGATTTACCATACTGCCGAACCTTAACACGGTCCGGGCCATGGTTTGCAACACCATCTTGGCTGTCATCCGTAGCCGAGCTGGAGCGATGCCCACCCTTATCTGAGGATGTATCCTTCTCGTCGCTGCTGCGGCGGTCACGAGTGTATGTAACCATGGAGCCAGCTGCACTGCGGAGGCTGCGGAGCCAGCTGTTGCGCCGCTTGTAGCGCGCCCCACCATTGCTGGAGCCGGAGCTGGACCTCTCAATGGGAGTGGAAGCGCCACTTTGGGAATTGGAGTTTGAGTTGGAATTGACCACGCTCTGGCGGCGCATGAGCTCTTGGACGATGGGTGAGCGGCCGATGAACAACTCGAACTCCTCCATGGTGAGCTGCCGCCCCGTACCGACCTCACGGAGACCGAACTCCTCTCTCACCAGGAACTCGCTGCCGTCGTCGAGGTTTCTGATCAAGCACCTTGGGTCCTCCTCAACAGCCTCCAACGTGGCATCTGACACATCGGACGAGGCTCCGCGCAAGCGGCCTCCTCCGAGCGGGGGTTTCGCGGCGGATGCCGGCGTGGCGCCGCTCGATCTGGACCGCGCAACCGGCGAGGACGGCAGCGGGCCCACGGCGTCGCATGGAGCCGATCGGCCCCTCTCGAATCGCGCGAGCGACGGGTCACCGGAGAGGCCCATCAGCTGGAGCAGCCGCCGCCGTCGCTCCTGGATGGGCGCCGGCTCGGAGGTCCACAGGTCGAGCGCCGCGGCCGCGGCCGCCGCCCCCGCGTCGTACCCGCGGCGGCGGCGCGGGTGGTCCCCATCGTCGTCCGAGGCCGAGGTGGAGGAGCCCGACGACGAGAGGATGCGATCGAGCGACTCGTAGAACAGCTCCTCCTCCTCCTCCTCCCCCACCACCTCCTCCTCCACGCTCATCGCGCCGCCGGCATTGGCCCCCGTCGCGGAGATCGAAGCGGAGGCCGGCGCTCGTGGGGCGGAATCGCGCGGGTGCGAAGAGCACGATGAGACGAGGTAGGGGAGAGGTGTGGGAGGAGGGGAGAAGAGAAGAGGACTGGAGGGAGGGAGGGAGGAAGGGATGGGGGAAGTCGTAGCGAAGTGGGTGTCAGATCCACCACCACTACCACGAGCGAGCGACCCGTGGCTTCCTCCTTTCCCTCGCCCGCGGCCCGCCTCCGCTCGTCTTACTTAAGGGTGGTTGGTGCGGCTGCTGCTGCTGCTGCCGCCGCCGCCACCGCCGTCGTTGTTATTATCGCGGTAATTGTCGCTTGTCCGTGCCAATGGTGTGGTGGCGGCCGGTGCTGTTACCGCCGGTTACTGCTCGCTGCCCGGTAAACTGGCGAAGCCGGAGGCAAAGGCCATGCGTGGAAACGTCCTGGGCCTCCTTGACCCGATGGATGTAAGCTGGCGCTGTGGGGCCCGGCTGTCAGTGGGGTGTCCACATGGCGGTAATTTTCATTCCCCGCGACAGGGGAGTTAACGTATCTCGCGCCGTTTCGGAGGGCGGCCGGCCGGCCTAGCGTTTCGATCGGGGCCGGTGCTGCTGTGGCGTTTCGGATTTTTGGTGACGAGACGAGATGATTTGCTCCCTCCAACCTCCGCGCGGCGGCGTCATTTCTGCTCCCGTTTTGTGGGGACGGAAAACGGTTGCACACTGTCGCAGCAGGGATGGAATTGTGCGTTTGCGCTGTCAAACCTTACGTGGAAACGGGCTGGAGGGACTTGAAATTTAAGGCATCTGCTGGTACAATGTAACAGTGGCCGAAGCTATTGAATTTCACCGGATGGAAGTTATTTTTTGTGTGCGCATATTTTGGATTGCAACGTTCAATGTGTCCATCTAAAGTTAATGTACACATATCGTTGGCCAAGCTATTTTCAATAGACTTTCGACTTGGAATGGGACTTCCAACTTACAATCCAAATTTATTTGTATACTTATGTTACTTGACTCACATAGCCTTTTTAAGATCAAATCTTAGCATGGTACACCTATCACTATCCCTTGGCTGCTTTCCCTAAGTCGTGGTCCTATGATACATCATCAGCCAAGGAGAAGGATCATGCCGAATTATGAGAAAAATTGATGACGACTACCATGTTTCGATGTTGTTTTGAGTGGGGTTGTGCGTTGGTGAGGTTATCCTCATCTCTCAAATAAAATGTGGAATAATGTCGGTTGTGTGATGGAATATAATTCCTAGATAGAAGTGCTTGCTAAGGTTGACTTCGAATTATTGGACCATCTGCATCAACGATGGAGACAGTGATTGTGCAAGAGGCTGAGGTAGAAAGAAAGAAAGAAAAAAAGGAGAGCGTTCACCAAAGGAATGGGGTTAAAGAAAAAAATTAGAACATGTTGGAAATTAAGCGCAACTAACTTTACCTACGACTTAGTACCGACGAACTATTTGACAAATTTTTATGATGTGCCTAAGGATTTTGGGTTGATTTTTTAGTAGAGTGCGTTCAAACTCAATGGATTTAGGATAGCACCAAGAGCCATCAATTCATAAATATGAACACTACTACCTTTGTCCAAAAAAATTTATTACTCACACATCTCATACATACCAATACAAAATAAAAACACTATAATATCCCTACTTTATCAAAATCACAAATATTCTCTACTCTCACAAACTCTAATGCAATGATTGTTTTAAAGTATAAATTTATTTTGGAACAAATAGAAAAAATAAACTTACTACAGGATGAAGGAAATACTAGAGTTTTAGCAGAAATTAAGGTTGACATAAAATTATTCTAATGCCCCTAACAATATAGTATTCCCTTTGTTTTATATTATTAGACGTTTTGACTTTTTTCATAATTAAATTTTTTTTAAGTTTGACTAAATTTATAGAAAACGTAGTAACATTTCTAACACATCAAAATATGGTGTAGATGTTGCTAAATTTTTTCTATAAGTTTTGTTAAACTTAAAAAAGTTTAAAACTTCTTACAAAATAAACCGGAGTGAGTAATTGGTTAGGAAATATCACACCCTACAATGCAACTGCCTGGGAGCAAATACATTGCTCGGATGAATTGGAGGAGCATTGCTCTAAAAAAACACCATGGAAAATTGCAAATGTAGACATGCTTGTATTTTTTGGAGGGGAGGAGCTAGCAAGCAAGCTAATACGTCATTATTTATATATAAAAAAATGCAAGCTAAAATTAGGCCGTGCATGCCAGCACGGCAGCACACCAAGCACGTACGTAAAGAGGAAAAACACATCATACGCGCGCCCCACATGCGCGTCACGTACGAGGACCACACAAAAGCTACCGAAGTTGAGAAAAAGAAAAATAAAAGAATCCCTTCGGAAACTCACCGGTACGTATGTGTACGCTCGAGACACGTACACCACACAGCGCGAGCCGACGTTGGATCCGGCCGTGTCTCGTGCCCCTCGAATGACGTCCCACGCCAAAGCAACACACGTCCAGCCACGCGCGCAAAATTATCGGCGTCCGACGACGATCCGGCGCCGCGAGCCCCTGGTACACGCTAGCTCCCTCGCGTTCGGCCGCGGCTGGCCCCTTTGCCAGCGGTCTGGACCGTGCGCGCGTACGACCGACCCGCGAGAGGCCCGCGGTGGCCGCCGATTCGCGCGCCGGTGTACGTGGCTAGGGGTAGGTCGAGCTGTAAAACCGGCCGTCTCATCTCTCACATGTCACGGGCCACCATGCGCGGGGACGGGGGGCGTGAGGGAGGGGACGCCTTTTAGGCCGATCTGCCCGTGAAAACGCCGAAAATCCCAGTACTACCACCAGCAGGAGGCGAACGATCGATCGATCCATCGGCGGCAGCCGGGGGGGGGGGGGGGGGGGGGTACCGTGCACAGCAGGCATTGCAGGACCACCGGCGCGCGGCCATGGCACCGGGTCCCCGGCCATTATATGTGCGCCCCTGTCTCGGAGCTCGATCGCGTGGGCAGTTGGGCGAGCGATCGATCCCGGAAGATGCCGGCCGGCGCACAGTAGCGTGTCGATGGATCTCGGGTCGAGCATGGAGGAGTCATGCATGCATGCGCAGACGAGACGATCGAGATCTGCCAAGATCGATCGATTATCGATCGGTGACTTTTGGAACGATCGACACATGTGTGCGTCGTACCTAACCTAAGTGGAGTGCAGATTGATCGGATGAAGCGCAACTGGTACAGAATTATGGGTGGCAATTATAGGAGTGGCTAACTTTTTTTTCTGTAACTTTTACAAGTGGCATGCGACATTCACCGTGCTAATTGTGCAAGTTCATGGTCACCGTTTTCTTCTTTTAAAACACACAACGTACGCCACCATCATGTACACTCTCGTACACTAATCTCTATAAACACGTAATTTATTTTATATAAGTACCTTTGAAAGACTTTACAAAAATATTTTAATATTAATAAAGTCACAAGAACTTATAATTGAGTTAAGCTACTCCTTACCCTAGTAAATATGGTGCACCTACAAAATCTCCTGAAAAATCTGTGTGCTGATATAATATCAAACTTGAATAGTTCCAGTGTAAGCTTATTGAGTTTTGCGGACGTCACCGTCGCGCTGCATCCACGGGGACGTACATTAGTACATATGCTAATTTCGAAAAATAAAAGTACGTATTTTTTTTATAGAAGCACATATGCCAGCATGACGTCAAAACCCCTTCTCTCTCTGTAAAGCAGCTAGCTGTCCCAGAGTACCCAACTGCATTTTTTTTTTACTAATCACTTCTACTTTCGATATTCCCTTACTCCCCTCCATTTTCTTCGGCTTGTTGATACTCCCTCCGGGTTGATAATACTTACTTTCTATGTTTCACAATGTAAGTCATTTTAACATTTGTCACATTTATATTGATATTAATGAATCTAGATAGATATATATGTCTAGATTTATTAACATCAATATGTATATGGTAAATGCTAAAATGATTTACATTGTGAAACGGAGAGAGTATTATTTTAGACAAGAGTATAGTCACCAGATTTAAAAGGTAAATATTTTAAAAATGATTTACAATTAAATATTTTAAAGTTTAATCCTACTCTCGTCTAAAAAAAAGTATTATCAGTCCGGATGGAGTAATTAACACTACTCCGTTTCAATTAGTTTCGCGTGTGAGATGATTCTCTCACTAAGCTGCGGTCATCAAGTATGTCATCAGCTAACGCCACAACTGAGACATGCCTCCACAAGTGCCCCATCGCAGGTTCGCAGAGCACAGTGCTGGCCACGTGAATTGAGGAGTACGTACTAAAATTGATAACGCACCAAATGGTACACGTGGACACGATATGGTATAATTTAGTACGTAACTCCGGATTAAAACAGCAGCTTAAGATAGTACTACCCCTTTAGCTGGAGCTAGACCCACACGTCTTGAATATATATATTTTTGTGCACACGAGTACTCGTCTTCTCGATAAAACGGGCAAAGCACAAACACACGTTTTGGATTTCGATAGGCGCGCAGCGTGTGCTACCTGGCACACCATGCAGAGCGTTCCAATCTTATCCTAACTGTACCCCGTGAAAGGGAGCCAATTGCATTGCATTCATATTTAGAAATAACGCACTGCGCTGGAGCAACGTGAACAAACTGTTGCCCATCCTGAATTCATCCGATCGAATTCGAACAGCTCGTATACCTTCAGGAGTTGATTATTTGTACGTATTGCTATAGTGAGTCGATCATGTGGATGCCAACATGCATATACCAGCGTCATCCAATCAAATTAATTTCGAACTGGTTGATTGTGACGTTGATGTTAGCTAGTCTCTAATCGCGCGGTGTCAACATCATTAAGGATAGCAAAGCCTAGCTGTCTTGTAAGTACATATAATATTTTCCTCGTATAAAATGTAAATCTACCATGGGATACGTGTTTTATGGGACCGAAGAAGTACCGAGTTTTAGATTTAATCTCTTTGGTGAATTGAAGTGTGTAGTGACGTTCGACGGCGTGTGCTACGCTAGCTAGCGTTACGTACGTATGAGTGACATGAGAGTTGAGGCTGTTGAGCGCGGAGAGGACACGGGCCGACGAGCAGGAGCATATGCGCCGTGAATACATATGACGATTAGTCTGGCAGACTGGCACTAGTAGACTCCAGTAACACGGGGAGGAGAGGACTTCGGAATCTGGCCGCGGCCGGCAGCGCGTCCAAGTCCAACTCGAACTAGCTTAGGGACCGCGCAATTTGCCCCCGTGTCGTACCACGGTACTTGGAGATTGTTTGGCTCAGTACCCAATTTTACAATTTCAGCCTACGCGACGTGGGGAATAATGGTTACCAGTTCCCCGATCTCAAGCTAGCCAGCTACAACGCGACGTGCGTACGTTCACCTCTTGTCTAGTACATGCATGCTCGCGATCCAGCTAGCTACACTGGCCAGTGGCCACCACCGTCACGGCGTCACCTACCCGTTGTTTCTCGATCGGTGTCAGGGTCAGGGCCGGGGACACCTCACGCGCGTACGGACGCATGCAACAACAACGCCCCGACCGAAAGTTAGCCGGCCGGCCGGCCACGGCCAGTGGGCACGCAAAAAACATGAAAGAACAATACCCACGTCTTCATGATCTGGTTCGTTACTGGATCAATGTGGATTTATCTCACAGTTTCTAACCCAATTTGAGCCGATTCATGTGAATTCGGTTTAGAAATCATGTGTTAGGTTCTACCAAAGTGGCAAGCACCCAGCATGCAGCATCTTATTTGGATATGGACTAGAGGGAGTGAGAGAGAGACCCTGACCGATTCCAACCAGGGATCTGGGGAGAAATCGTGTCCACGCGCGGTTTGATGGTGAGGGCACCAATCTTTCTCAGAGCGTTATTGTGTTACGTGCGCGGTTCACCGTGGGGTGGTACACTTGGGCAGCGAGCTCAACATAATA